ATGGAAACAATTTGAATAAATTTTTTAGAAGAAACATTCACAATGTCTAAAATTAAAAATAGCCTGAAGGGAAGAATAGGAGAATTTATATCTAAAAATGCCCCAAGGGAACTTCTCTTGTGAAATTCCCCCCCAAATAAATATTTTTCTGATCAGCTTTGGATAGAGATAACTCATTATTCTATTAGATATAAGAAAGAATCAGCCACTGTATGAAACACAGACCTGATGTATTCCCTTTATACTTTACACCATCAAAGTGCCTTTTGTTCACATTCCTCACATGAAAATCTGTCTTCAAAATCCTCCTGGAAACAAAATCTATGCAATAATAATTTTTTATAATGAGTAGAAAAATGTGTAAGAAGAGGAAGGACATTTTTATATCTTCTAATGAAAGGCTGTGCACAGATTGGTGGGTTAACACTGCCTCTGGGGCAGTATGGTGTGTGCTGAAATGCAGAATGATGTCAGTTCACTTGCTCAGCTTAGAACTTACTTGTTGCCACAAAACTTCTGATAAACCAATAAGTATGTGCAGCCTCCGAATGCAACCAGTTTCATGTGAGCTAGCTCACCTGCTTTGCCAGGATATTACAGCTCCAAGTCTTACCTTCTCAAAATCTGGACCTCCTCTACATGACTTGCCTAAATGACAAAGTCACAGAAGTAGAATTGAGAATGAAATGCTCCTGGCTGTTAGTTTATCTATTGCATAGCCCATCTTTCTTTTTGCATCATGAAAAAACATTAGAATTACATTGTTTTCTAGAAGTGAAAAATACAGGAGAAAAGGGTAATCTAATACCAAGTTAGAGACTTTTACAATAATTGTTTCTGTTCCGAATTCTGGAGTAGTCTATAGGCAAGGATTTTGATAATTTTTGTTTCTGGATTTTAGGCCTTCTTCTGTTTCCCTGTACCTCATATTAAAAATATATATATTTCAATATATATTGAAAACTAGCATAAGCCTTGTCTGTAATACAAAGGAGAGTCTGGATGAATTGGGAAGTACAAGTTAATTGTGAACATAATTGCACTTCTGGTGGATAATTGCAACTGTAAGTCAAGCAAGACAGCTTCTAACACTTGGGTCAGGTTTTTAATTCTGTGATCTCAATTATTAATGAGGATATTTTCATAAGCTTTCTACATAAAAATTGACTTCATAACAGAGAGGTCAGCTGGTCTTGTCTTCTAGCCTTTATCATTCTCAGTGATAATCAGAAGCTGTTTTCCCATAAATGTAAGTGGTTTTTATGCATCCTGACATAAATACCAGACATAGGTGGTGAATTACTTAGAAGCTTTATGAAGCAAAAATTAATGCTGTAGGTTCTAGTTGAAAGTGTGATTTAATACCTTGGGAAACTTGAAAGCCATATTGAGTCTATTATGGAAAGCCCAAAGCAGGCTGCTATTCACAGAGTGGCTGCAGTCAGATGAAGTAGTATGATACATAAATAAAACAAGTTGACCAGTACAGGCACATACAATAATAACACATAAATCAGGAATGTTTCCACATCTGATAGACAGCTGCATTGAACACATTATATCTTGAGACTGATATGTCAGTGTCAATATAAGAGGATTTGAGACAAGCAGCAAGGTTGATTAGGACTATAAAGATTTTTATAAGAGGAGAGTGAAAGGATGGGATTGTTTATGCAGAAAATGGATTGAAAACCTCTCTAACCTGTCTCCTAAAGCAAGATTTAAGAGCCCATCCAGTATCATCAAATGGAAAAAATTCAAAACAAGTATACAAAATTTTGTTTTGTACCTGAGACACAAAGAAATGACAAAATTCGAGGTTGCAAAGATGGAAATTTAAGATAATTCAGAAAGGTATTTGGCACCCTTTTCAATTCAAATTTTAAACAATAAACATATGAGGTTTTAGAAAAGATAAATCACTTTAAAGTGCCTCAGTTAAATAGTCAAACATATACTTCCACTTATAATGGTTTATTGCATCTTCTTGTGGTGTGTCTTGGCTCATTGGCATTATGAATATTGAGTAAGAGTCAGGATATTGGACAAAATGGACAATTATTTATATTCATGGTGACAGTTTCCGTTCCTTTGGCAATCTGAATTAAGTTGTTATAATTTATCTCTGCTCTGTTTGTCAAGAAAAAAAGAATGGATGACAGCTCTGATTTCCCTTTCTGTCCCCAGAAAGTAGATGTCATAGTTGCCTTTCAGAGATTCAAACGGTCAAATGTATTGAAGACTCTTTCATTCACATCATGTTAATGAGTCTGGGACTACAGAAAATATCAAATTCTGTGCTTCTTTTCTGGCATTTTGCTACTTAGATGAATGAGAGATGGAATACTTTACAATTTCAGGGATGTTGAGCTGGAAGAACTTACTGGGTCTGTTTTAGTCTTAAAACACTCCTACCTTGAAAACTGTTCTGCCACTGAGTGTCTCAATTTCAGCATTGTGACAACTACTGAGAGTCTTACCATGATAATATGAAGAACTTAATACATTCCTAGGAAGTTTTCTTAAAAAAAAAAATTCTTAACACGAGTGTCTCCTCGTCCTACTCCAATTTAAGGAACAAAAAATTCCAAGCCTAAAATGTTACCCTTCTTGATCAGAGCACTTGAAAGCTGAATCAGAATCTGAATTCAGAAGGTATTTTTCTCTCCACAGATTCAAAACCTGAAATCCCATTGCCAAATTAGCAAGCTATGGCTGTGATTAGATGTCTTAAAGAGACAATTTCTGCTCAGTGGGATTTTCTGGGGAAAAAAGATATAAAATTCAGTTGCGGAGTTAAAGTAACAAATACTGGAGTTTCCCCTCTTGCCCTCCCCCCAAAACAACCTCCAAATTAATTAATTATAGTCTGTTAAAATCAGAGAATATTAATGTTGAAAATGCAGGTCAAGCAGGTCAAGAGCAAGTTGCCTAGTGCCATGTCCAGGCCAGTCTTGAGCTTTGATTGTTTTCTTCACAGTGAAATTTCTTTTTCTAATTTATGATATCAGAATTTTCCAGGTACCAGCTGGTGCCTGTTGTAGCTTGTCCTTACCCTGAGCAGAGAATTTGCTCCCTGATATCACTAGGGCTGTTAAGTGCTGCCAGAGAGCTGCTCCTGCTGCCAGGAGGTTCTCCTTGTCCCCAGTGCCTGACAGAAAAATTATTCCAAGCAGGGTGGATCCCCTCCAGGTGCAGATATGCACACATGTCTGTGTTAAAAGGTACTGTTAGCCAGTGTTTTGCTCATATTTGCCCCCAAGGGACGTCCCAACTAATCACCTGCTCCTCAGTTGGATCCATTATCCCTGTTCCCAGTCTACAGGGTGGTCCCTGTCAGTCCAACCAGTGGGTCTTGTCCTCCACAGCCCATACCACTGTGGGAGATCACATCACAGGCTTTGTTAAATCAAAATAAACAGCACACTCTGCTCACTTCATTCACCAAACCAGTCCTATATTCATACTGAGTCTCAAGTGACACAGTTCAAATGTATCAAATTTATTCCTCATCATTTCTTGCTTTTCGTAACCTGGGAGTCTTTTCTGGACAATTTGACATGTGACTTTCCCAGACACTGAGGGTGATTAACCTGTATTTACCTGGAGTAATGAGTGCAGAATTTGAGCTGTTTGTGCGATGACCATGGTCAGAAGTTTGGCTTATTATCTGATTAATTTTTCTCCCTCTTTGCCTCACTTCTTGGCTAAAAATACTGTTAGAACAATGCAAAGGGTCTGGGATTAAAATTCTGCTAACTCAGAAAAAAACCTGTTATAAGGACAATTAATTTGAAGTTACTTGAGAACTTCCATACATGTATCTGTTTAAACATGGAATGTGGAAATGCTGGTTAGAGTGCTGCCAGTAAGCAGAAGGGAAGGTAATAAAGAGGCAAATCACAAGTGCTGATAAAATATAGCATGACTTTGAGCACTGTAATAAACAGGCTATTCAGTCTTACTACGGTACGAATACCTGTGGTGGTAAATCTGTCAGACGCTCTGCTATGCTGTGAGGAAGGAAAGAGGCTGAAGGACATTCAATTGGGCAAGGCCACAGGCAAGAGGGTTTGATAAGAGCCTGCACATACCAAGAAGGCATTAGGAGCTAAAATGGAGGCAGAGTGATTGGTGCGATTTGCAAGTGTCAGACAGAGAATGATCAAATAAAATTAAGGGAGGGTCTATCAGGAAACTGATTGATTGAATAAGCTGTGGGCACACTCCCATATGAATCTGAAGAACAGCCCATGAGCTCTGAAAGCTGAATTGACTAACAGATATGAAAATTTTATCAGTCCCGTATGAGCAGGGAAGTGAAGGGAATGCTTTTATGAGAATCCATGTGCCTGTCCACTGTGATGCTCTGAAGAGGATCCATTGAAATATCTGTGGAAAAGTTGCCATTGATTCCAGTCAAGGTAGATCAAGACAGTGTGAATACAGGCCATGTTTGTCAGAGTAATTTGTCCAGGAACAAAAGTGGCAATGCACAAGGAATGGTTGACCCAGTGTAGGATCACAGGGAGTACCTAGGGAAAATAATATTCAGTAAACCATTACCTGTGCATGGGAACCTATAGAGATGTGTTAACTGAATATATGTTTTCCCTCATAGGAAGAGTTCATTAATTAATTACTTATGCTTGGAAGTGATGTGGTATGGGGCTACACTATTCCATTCAGGAGAGCTTGCTAGGCTTATGTGGTTTGATTTTATTAGAGCTAAAAGACTGTCATGTTTGACATTTGACAAAGTAACCTGTGAAAGTTCAGTTTCGTTTTCCTTGTTTGTCAAGAGGTTGTTTTCTTTGTCTCACTTAGGTATTTCACTTGCTGGGCTACACTATTCCATTCAGGAGAGCTTGCTAGGCTTATGTGGTTTGATTTTATTAGAGCTAAAAGACTGTCATGTTTGACATTTGACAAAGTAACCTGTGAAAGTTCAGTTTCGTTTTCCTTGTTTGTCAAGAGGTTGTTTTCTTTGTCTCACTTAGGTATTTCACTTGCTGGAGCCTCGAGTGTGCGTGGAGCCCACCTTGTTCTCACACAGATTGTTGCCCTTGTGATGAAGAGGTTTCACCACACAAGGAGGGACTGGAGAGGAAGCCTGTCAAATGTACTGCTGCCTGTCCTCTTTGTTGCACTGGCAATGGCCTTGTTTAGCGTGAAGCCGCTGGCTATCGATTATCCTTCTCTCCAGCTGACACCAAGACTTTATGGCAATGCGGAATCCTTCTTTAGGTAAAGGGCCCATCCATCATCATCAATATCCAGGGCTCTGGGACCTTTACCCTTGAGTTCTCCTATTGTAAAGACCTTCTTGTATTCTAGAAAGAATGATAGATTACTTTTTACAATAGTTATGTGGTGGTTTTTTTAGATGTTTAGTACACTTTTATAGATTATTGTAAGTGAAAGATAAAATTAGGAAAGCTTTGTGTGAAGGATTTTCTGGGGGAAAGGGCAAAGACTTTGGAGAAGATTGAACTCAAATCAATACCAGCCATGACCATTTATATGTAAATGAAAAAGCGTATTTGAACAAGCCTTTGCATGCTTCATTTTAAAAAAATTGTTTAGGTCTGAAGTTATTTTCTTGAAACAATTCTTGGGTTTGAAAATACCACACAGTATTTACAAAGCCTGCTGCTCCTCTTACTCAACCTAATTTCTATATGTTCAGCTTTGAAACCAACTAGATTATTCATTTATTTTTAATGTGCAGTATCTATAGAATCAATAAATATAGAGTGATAATAACACATATAGGTGCAAATATACAGATGAAGATAGCAAGATGCTGTTTGAATTTATAGATATAATATAAATTTATTTTATGAGCATAAAAAAACTTTAGCAATGCCAATAGCTAGAAATACATGACTATAAGGAGAAGGATGCCCATGGGTAGATGTTGAGATTTGTTTAGCCATAATTGCAATGAATTTTCTTTACATGTTCATATTGAGTATTTTGAAATGAGATTATTGGGGTATGTATCCCATGCATGGATTTAATAGTCCTTTAATTCCTTGGAAAATACATAGCACCATGAGACTGAAGGCTAAAAGAGCTAGCCATATTAACATGTCTTTATTTCTTTTCTTTTTTTTATTTTTCTTTCCCTTTCATTCCTTATACCCCTATGGTCCTCTTTGAACAGCACTGAAGATGATAGCCTAGGAAAACTTTCCCAGGTTCTATTGGGATATTTCTCTGATTGGGACCACAGATGCATGCATTCACAACACGGGTAATTGTAACTAATGTAACTATTTCCTTCATTTAAATATCGAACATTTCATTTTTTTTTCTTTCTGTGTAATGGATTATCTTAGCCTTTTTTTGGCAGCATGGAGTTAGTGACAAATTGTTTCTGATAAAGGAGCTGACATCCAGGTGAAGAGCAAAGTAGGCTTTACTGTTAAAGGTCTGATCCATACATCTTAAAAGTAAGTGGCAGTTTTCCGATTAATTTCAGGATGATTTTGATCAAGCCTGGTGTCCATATGAAGGATGAATAGACAATAAAGAAAGTATTTGTTAGGAAGCGCTCTACATTTCCAAATTCAGGAATGAAGTGGCGACAATGCTTTAATAATTGCTGTAAATATGAGACATGAAGCTAATTTGATGCCTATATAAATATTTTTAATAAATCAACTTTGATAAAAGTGAGTAAAATTTGTATCACTCTAGACACAGCCGCTGCTGTGATCAAATGCTAAGAAGGCGTTAGCATGCCAGGTCTGCTCATTACTGTCTGGATTTCTTCTGTTAAGTGACATATTCCTCTCATTTCCTAGTTATAATTTTTATTACATTTATTCCTATTAGAAAAAATAATTCATGCTGGCAGACAGAATCTATGTCACCTCAGGATTCATGCAGATGTGTGTCTGAACAAGAGGTATGTAATTTTTTATTTACTTACATATGTAAAAAATGTATGTGTGTATATTACTTCTAATTCCTTGGCTGCTGTTTTTGAAGGGCTGGTGAAAGTCATGAGGAAATAAATCCTCACAGGTCTGACTTTGTTATGATTGGAGGTTTACTTCTCTTTCATCTAATGAAATTGTACACAATTTTTTTGTTTACATATATATATATGAACATATATGTGCACTAGAAATGGCTATAGTTTGATCTGAAATAACAGGATCAGAGACAGCTGAACTATTTTCAGCAGATGCAACTTACTATAAAGATGTTATAGGATTCTGCTTAAGAAAAACCTCCATGTAAAACAGGGTTAAAACATAACACTTCCATAACATCTGGAAGACCACCTACTTTCAGAGGGAAGAGTGGGTGAACCTAGCTGGTAGAACCCACCAGGGAATTTACACATGAATGAGATTTAATTGTTAAAGTTTGCTTGTGGTTTGGATTTTGGATTTCAAAATACAACAGCCTTCAAGAAATGAAGGATTTTGAAAAGCATAATGAATTTCTGACCTTCTTAATGAATTATTTTTCCTGCTGACTTGCTCTGAGTTGAGTAATAAACAAAAACATGAATCTGACTGAGGTGACAAATGTATTTCCCCAAAAAGGAACTTCCTAAAAAAAAGTTTCTTTTGTTTATAAAGGCATAATTATTTAGAATAAGAGTTACATATGAAATATAGCAATACAGTTTTGGGAAAAATGGGAGGAAGAAACTTATTTTTTGCTTTTCTGGACGAGGAATAAGTTTGCCTCTAATACTCAAGGGAATTAAAAGAAGGTTGAATATAATACAAATGGGAAACTTTCACAGGGAGAGGTCTATTAACCATGAAAACTGAAAAAAGTCACTTGACAGTGGAGGCAGAACTTTTATCTGTGAGCTATGTAAGAGCAATCTCTGAGAGTGAATTTTTATTTTTGTAGGTTTGAGATGTCAAGCATTAAAATTTTTCAGTTGATTGGCATAAAGTACTTTGTAAAGCTTCTGAGATAATTGAGTCTAATATCTGTCACCTTTTTCTTGGTTGTGAGAATGTCCCACTGAATCATTAGAAGACATCTTCCTTTATTCTTCTTTTCAGCTCATCAGTGAAGTTTTTAGAAGCTTATAACATTAATTAGAATTTTGCTTTCATCTCATATTTATCTGGTTCCTATTTTGTATTTCTTCTCAGGAAAAACAAATAAAAAGCAGTCTTGCCATTTTCATTGCTGTAAACATTCCCAAGCTTATATACAAGTTCTGATGTTTTCAAAACAAACTGACTGACAGGGCTGCAAGAGAAATCAAAGGGATTTCTAATGTGTAGGTGGCACAATCATTTGAGTTGCCTTATAAACATAAAAATATTCATAATTTATTGAAAATCTGTTAAAACTGGGAAAGGCAAATCGAGTAAAAAGAAATGCTATAAAATCTACATCAAAATCCAAAGATAAGGTTAAATATAGTGCCACTGCTTTTAAAAAGTGCTTTACTTACTTTACGTATACTTTTTTTTCAGATGTGCCCAACTTTCAATACTTCTGCTCCCTATGTGAAGAACAAGAAAGGACATATTTTGTATAATCTTTCAGGGTTCCCTGTGGAAGAGTATTTAGTGAGGCCTTCCAACAAAACAAGGTAACCTTAAAATGTCTAGCCTTTCTTTTTCCTCTGTGTATAAACCCTGCAGTCCTTCCTGTTCCAAAGCATAGATATTTGTCACTGAAAATATAAAGGGTCATTGTCTTTATCTGGTGATTGTTATCAAGGTGTAGAGCTAGGCTGAAATTCAAGGTAACATGAAAGACCCTCAATGGTCACATCTCAGAACTCCCTCCAGAAGCTGCATGATGATCACCTCTAGGCATACTCTGAGTTTCTTACAGGTAATGAGTTATTTCAGCATCTCAGAGATGCATATCTAAATCAGGTGAACAAAATAATTTCCATTCCTCAGAGACTCAATCAAACAGGGGTGGACATGCTCCAATTAATATTTTCTTTGAAGTAAAAAGGGCTGGTGTGCTCCTGGCACTACTTCATATTCTGTGATATCTGCAACAGAGGTTATCTGCTGTATTTTGAAGTTTATTTATGTGCCTTTACAACTCAACCACTGCTGATAATGTAAGTGGAAATATTAGACCATGTATGATTTTATTGAGGAGAAGAAAGCGTTAGCCATTCATATATTAAAAGAAGGTGCATCTGATTTGATGTAAATAGAGGTAAGCATCTTTGGATGAAAGATTTGAGCTAATATGTGAATGATGTAGGAAGAAATAAAGATGCTTCTCACTTGCTCACAACCCGTCCTGCTGCACAAAGAATTCACCTTTCAAAAAGCAAAAATTCTTATCTAAGGGAATACCTTTGCCGAGAAAAAACCAGTAATATTCACCTGATTAAGAACTACATTGTCCCTCTTCTTTTTAACAAGGAAGGCATTTGTGAGGGGTGAAGTTTTACTTTCAGTTGAAAAACAAAGCATTATTGCAGCTATCTCAACTGTACCCTTGCAAGAAAACTGCAGAGCTTAAGGCAGATAACTTTTTGTTATTTTAATTTCTACTATCAGATATGGTGGTTGGTCTTTTGGAGGGATGAAAGCATTTGAACTTCAAGACAAAAAATTGAATAACACTAAATCTCAGCCTCTGGCTAAGGTAAGAGTTGCATGTATGTGTGCACATCTGTATGTATATATTGATTACTTTTTCAGGCTTCAGACATCATAGCACTTAACAAATAAAAAATCATTACATGAAATCCTTGCACTTGAATAATTGGGAAGAATCCTTTGTCTTTTATCATCTAACTCTGTTCATAAACCTTGAAGTAATCTCCTGCATTTGATAAACTGTTTTAAATTAGTCAAATGATATACCTTTTTTTTTTTCTCCCAGTGAACTCATTTTAGAATCTAAGTTTAAAACTTGCTTTTAGATAGTCAGCCAAATAATTTTTTGTATTCTGCAAAAAGCCAATGTCAGAATTGGCCAAAGTGCATTGAGTATCACAGTAATGGGTTGCTGTTGATGTTTTTCATGCCTACAAGGGATACTTTACTTTGCTTCATTTCTCTCACCACACTCCTCCTAAGAGTAAAGACATCTTCCAGGAGCAGCTCCTTTTGCATAACAAACATACTATCCTTTTCTCAAAAGAGCCTTTCTAAAATTGTTCTAAGGGAGATAAAATAGTAAGTGATGTTTAGCCTCCAGGTCTCATCCCAAGTTTTCACAATATGGAGATACTGTACCTCTCATGGGCACTGCATACCAAAAGGCCTTAAGGAAAAACCCTTTATTTCAATTGTGCTTAGAATAATCCTTCTTTTAATTTTGGGATTCATTCAAATGTAGATGCATTACAAGTAGAGGAGAAGCAGTCTTGGAGAAGTATTGATGCATATCAGTGAGAGGTCTCTGTTTTTGGATTTGAGGCAAACAAGATTTGTTAAGAGGAAGCTGTGCATTTTCCAGATTCTAGATTAGGATATGAAAGAAAGGTGTTTCTGCCTTTAAATATTTTAATGTAAATATAGATTTTATTTGATCTTTAAAAAAAAAAGAAAACAAGGAACAGCATAAGTAAGCGCCATCTCAAAATCCATTTTGAGACAAATTGTAAGGAAAAAATACAGATTTTCTCCAGTCCAATGTAATTTCAGGCTTAGTTTTGCAAAATAACTTCCTGTTTCTAATGCTTTTTCCATACAATTTGTTAGAAATCTCCCTATTTTATATACAAATCTGAACATATACAGATTTTCATTTTGGTAATTTGTAATCTCACTTTTAGTCCCATATATTTTACAGGTTTGAACTCCAGTTCCATCATTCCTCCATGAGAAACCTGAAAGTTTTCAGCAATATTTTTTTTCTGGCTTCCAATTTTTCCTCTGTATCTTTAATCATTTTAGATTCTTGTTTTGACATGCTTGCGCTGTGGTCCTTTTTTTTTTTTAGTGTGTTTGGTATAGAGCACCACCTGCCATCAGGACAGGGATAAATTATAGTTATACTCTTAGTAAGTAAGCTTCATATTTCAGACCCAAAGCAAATAGTGGAGTAAATTTATAAAGGGCACTGTGTTATCTAAAGCATCTCCTGGAAATGTCTTTCAAAGGATGCAATGTCAAGTTATTGCATTAACCTTTCAGTAACTAATGACCAGATTTTTACTTTGACCTTTTAGGTCTGTTCATGAGACAGTGAATGTACCATTTACATAGCCTGGTATGAAAGAAAAGGAGAAATTTGCATTAGAAGAGAATGATTCACTTGATTTTAGAAAATTTCTGAATCTTTATACATTCTTTTCCAGTCCTTGAGAAGTCAACAATTTTTCTTGTTCAAATTAAAAATATTTATTTAGTACATATTTTATTGTACCTAATCATACTGTGCTGTATATATTACATACATGGTATATGCATGCACATAAGAATGTTTGTATGTGTATACAATAGAGAGAATATATCTATGACCTGACAAATAGGGCTGATTAAAAACATTGATTATTGGCATTCATTGATGGTCGGTGCTACGTAGCAAAAGAACAAATTCTCAAATTTTTTTAATATTCTTGACTATAGATTCTTTGGCTTCCTTTGGTAACATGGCCAAAAAATTTTTCCATAACAGCTTCAGGGTTGCTGTTTTTATAACATAATGAAATATAGGAAGAACATGTGGTAATTTTAAATACTGCCAAAAGGCAAATTGTTCTGTTCACATGTCATTTGGAAGAGTATATTTTTCCAATCCCAAAGGTTGGGGCTTGAGGCTTTACAGTACAGTAATTGTTTAACTGTCTAGAGGAAAAAATTACATGTTTCTAGTTCAATATCAATCATTAATCTGGTCCAGAAATGCTGAGGGACTTCGCTGCTCCTTCTCATCCTTTTTTCTTGATAGGCCATATGTTAGCTGAAATGTAAGTCTAACTTTATTCTGGATATTAATGGCAAATAAAAGATTATGCAATAATGTAAAACATGTCTTCATAGAAATTCAATCTGATGTGGTGAGGGGTTGTGTTTTTCCTTGGGAAAGAATTTTCCTAACTATGAATAAAGTAAAAATTAATTATATTTTGTATATAGTTTTCTATTCCTCAGCTATTTTCTCTCCTCTGTAAATAATTACCTGTGTGCCACAAAAGAAATATGAAAGATGTTTCAGCTAGAGCTAGTACATTTTCTTTTTTTTTTTATATTTTACCTTTGCTAATAATTTTGAATAAGAAACAAGTCTTTAGAAAAAAGACCTTAAATATAACTTCTGGTGAAATGAACAACCTTAAATGTCTTTTTTTCCTGTTTATAATAAATTAAATATCCATTTGGTTATTTCCTCATGGTTTGATTCAGTTACATAATGCAGCTTGGAGGATAATTCCAATTAACATGTTGGATATTGAAATATATTGTTACACACAGTACTCTGTTGTGGTATTCATTTCAATACTGGTTGCATTAATTTATTTCAAAGGTGCTCTCTGAACATTTGTGGCTTTTCCCTTGCCTAAATTAAATGAGGATGTGTTATCAGAAATTTGCCTTTTTTATTGCCTTTTTTTTCCAATACAACAGACACAATTGCAGTGGAGTTTCATTATATATGTATATATGTAAAACTTTTTATTCTATGAAAACCTTTCACCTTTTACCTTTCAAAAAATGATAGAATTGGAGATGGGTGTATGGGGCTGCGAAAAAGACAGGTTACCCTTGATCGCTTGTTTCTGTCTTTTTGTCCAGATTGCTACTTGCACAGGAGGTCCTGCATTGCAAAGATTTTCAGTTTTCCTCATGAATCTTAGGTTTTCTTTTGCTACCTTTTGTTAAAGACTGCTCTTGTTGATTAATGAATGGGGGATTTAGTTTGTGGAATAGTTTGTGGGAACTGAACTGGAGAGGAACAAAGGAACTTCATGACTTTGCAAGGAGAAGACGACGTTAAGTTTTGTTCTTTTTTCTTTTCTTTAAATATGGGGACATAGGTGTTTGAGACATTTGAGTACTATGTGCCATCACATTACATGGCACATGGAAGATATCCAGGGAATGAGGCCCAGCCTATGTGGATTTATGAATGGCAGGTCCTGCGTGACTAACCTGCCCTTCTATGAAGTGACCTGCTTACCAGATGAGGGAAAGGCTGTGGATGTTGTCTATCCAGACTTTAGTAAAGCATTTGACACTGTCTCCTACAGCATGCTCCTTGTAAAACAGGCTTCTTGTAGCTTGGATGGCTGACTCTTATGGCTAAAAAATTGTCTGTATGGCTGGGCAAGAGAGTTGTGGTGCTACATCCTCTTGGTGGCTGGTCGCTAGCTGTGTTCCCCAGGGCTCCCTTTCTGGGCTGGTCCTACTTCTCATCTTTGTTGATGATCTGGATGTGGGGATTGAGTGCATCCTCAGTAAATATGCAGATGACACGAAGCTGTATGGAGGTGTTGATCTGCTTGAAGGTAGGAAGGCTTTTCAGAGAGTCTTGCACAGACTCAGGCATTGGGCAGAGGACAGCTGCACAAGGTTCCATAGAGTGAGATGCTGTGTCCAGCACTCGTGTCCCAGCAGCCCCATGCAGCCTTACAGGTGGGGGGAGATGTGGCTTGAGAGCTTTTCTGCAGAAAAGGGACCTGAGGGTCCTGGTTGACCACCAGCTGAATATGAGCCAATGTGTGCCCAGGTAGTGACATCTTGGCCTGTGATTTTCACCTTATATTCAGCATTGGTGACGTGGTACCTCAAGTAATGTGTTCAGTTCTGGGCATCTCACTTGAGGTGCTGAAGCATATCCAAAGAAGGGTAAAAAGGCTTGTGAAGGGTCTAGAGAGAATGTCTTATGAGAAATGGGTTTGTTTAGTCTTGAGAACAAGAAGCTCAGGGGGTACCTCATTCCTCTCTACAACATCCTAAAGGAAGGGTGTAATGAAGTAGTGGCTGGTCTCTTCTGCTGCGCCTGCAGAGAGAATGAAAGAAAATTGTCTTGAGCTGAAACAGGTGAGATTGAGATTAGATATCAAAATCACTGTTATGGGGGTCAGGAATTGGAATAGTTTTCCCAGGGAGTTGGTGGAGTCATCTCTGGAAGTGTTTGGATCTGATGTTGGGTGGTGTTTAGTGTTCTAGGAGTTACAGCGGTAGTGCTGGGTTAGTGGTTTGACTTGGTGATGTTGAAGGTCTCTTCCAGCCTTGATGATTTGATGATACTGTTGAGATTTCAAGCAGCTGGGAATGCCACATAAAGAAGAGTATAAAATGTGAAAGATAAGGCAGGCAAGCAGAATGGCAGATCAAAGCTGTTAATTTTTTACAAAATGGCTAACAGAGCTTGTGACAAAGAAGATTAAAGGGTGAGAGAAGAAATGACAGTGGACCTCAGAGTGGTTCTCGGAATTATGATCTAGGATAGATGGGTGGAAATAAAACAGACTCAGAGTACTGTAAACCTCACCTCACAAAAATATGGAGATTCAAACAAGCAGGTAGTCAGGAAAATTAATCAGAAGAAAATTATTAAGAGAGGGAAACAGAACTGAAGATAAGGCAGCCTACACTGGGAAATATCCAGGAGAATATGTCAGAAAAAACAGTCAGAGTCTGGAGCTAGGGTTCAAGTAAGGATTGTAGTTGGATAGTATAAGAAAAAAGAAAAAAAAAAGGCAGAATCATCTGCAAGTAAAAGATAAAAGCATTGAGGAATGATAAGAGAATCTTTAGGAAAGTTCCTAAGATGTAACTGTATAGATGGCAATTCTAGAAATGATGAAATTAAGAAAACTGAAGCCTTAGAAGAGGACTGTTAAGACAAAAAAGATGCATATTAAACCCTGTTCACTTTGCATTATTATTCAGAGTCTAGAGAGACAATGAGAATTGCCCTACCGATGATGTACAAAATACAGAGTACAAACAGTTGATATCAAAGACAGAAAGGTTAGGAGTTTTTCAACTGTTTAAAAAAAGGGGAGAAGAAAGGATGCTATGATAGTAATCAGACGGTTTTAAATGTCACTGAGACTGAAAATAAGCATCCATAATAATTTGACTTATTATCATATTATCATTATGGATAATATAGATTCTAAGGCACTATGATTAACAGTAATGGCTGATAAGAATCAGTTTCTAACTGCAGAGAAAACTCAAACCTCAGTATATTTGGGTTTGGGACATGACAAGCTTTCAGCAACGGTTTTGGCAAGTAGAAGTGTGGATTAAGAGTAGCAAGTCAGGATGAATCTGCATGATCTGAAGGTAAAGTATATGTTACAACAGAATTTTTTCCCTGTTCCTCAGAGAGACTGGCTTGTTTTGTCTGCCTTAAGGTTTGTCTGCATCAATTTCCTCCATGTTTAACAAGCCACTGATGCTGAATTCTGAATCATAAGGCAAAGTGAACAGCTCTGTCTATGGAACAGCTTCATACCTTGTAAACAGTGCTTCCTTGATTCTTTCTTTCCCCCTCTTTCTAGAACATTCTGTTCCTAGATACTTTATGCTGTGTGTCATATGTAGGTATTATTTAGAAAAGTCTCTTTGGAATTTCAATGATTCTTCCAATTTAGGCAATACTTTTACTCATCTTTTTGCATTTTTAATCAAACTGGCAGGTGTTATTTTCACATTTTTGTCCCTCTCTTTGTTCAACCACATGTGTGTAAAGGAAGGGAGGCATAGTGTTCCATTAAATAAGAGAATCTCAATTTAGTAATAAACATATGTGTACAACTCCAACAATAGAAAACTGCTGCATGCTGTTGAAAGATGTATGCAAATCAACCAATTCTGTTCTGCCTGGTTGACTTTCTTCTATAAATAAATGTCATAACAAAAGAATTAGATATCCTTCATGCAATTCTTAAAGGTATGTGCACTTTCAGATCAGCATGCAGATTGAACTAATGTTTGATTGACATTTTCCATTCTTTCTTCCAGGTGTGGTATAACCAGAAAGGTTTCCATTCACTGCCATCCTACTTAAATGAACTCAATAACTTCATTCTGTGGCTGAATTTACCTTCTAATGTGGATTGGAGACTGTATGGTAATAGTTTTTCTTTGTATATATTCGTATGTTTTGCAAAGTAGTTTTTAAATAAACTATAATAATTATAAGTATGAAAATTTTTTTATTAACAGTAGGATTTCAGAGTTCAATTTCTCTGGAGGACTGTAAAATGAAAATTTTATAAAGAAAGTTTTTGTGGAAAATATAGTACACAGTAATGTAAAATTTTAATTTAAAGCTCAGCATGTCATGTGAGTTCCTTACAAAGACATTCCTGTGAAATAAGCAAGTGTAAATTGTTTTGGGATGTTAGTCCCTCTGAAACTGCTGCTAGGGCTTACTTAAATAGCATGACTAAGGCACAACAGACTACGGATTTATAATTTCTTTGGCACTTTGCTATATCTCCTTATATAAATATCTAGAGTAAATCCAGATTAGCCTGTAAATTCACAGAACAGTGTGATGTTTCACATTATTCTGTTACTCAAGGATACTGTATATCATTATTGTACAAAACAAAAGAGCAATTAATATATCTGGCATGTGAATTCTCTAATTCAGATATCCTGAACTTTACAAAAAATTGTTAAAGTAAAAATTTTATGAACTGAGATCTGAAAAAATGACTGCTGCCAAAGACTCAGCTGTTAAAACAGATGATGTGGGTTTGGAAATCTAGTTTGAAATCTGGGCTTGATTAACTTCACAAATATGTGTTAACTTCTATTCATTCTAGTTCCTTTCATTCTTAAAAATTCTGTTAAATAGGAATTTGGTTTAGGGAAACTTAAAAAGAGCTTTTGACCAATTTTTAAGAGTTCTTGTAAAATTAGGATGGTTTTCTGTAGTGGAAAAATGATTTTAAGTGTTTTTATAATGAAGAAAGAAGACAAAAACAATGAAAATGGGGAAGGAATCCTGAGAATCTAAAACCAGAGATTCATTAGGAAAACTTTCTGGCATGTCCAAGAAAAAACGAGTAATGGCTTGTTTTCACATATGGACGGGGTTTCATTTTTCTAAAAGAATTATGAGAATGGATCAAAGGTAATATGTTTACACAGAAACTTTGAATGGAATGAAATCAGATATTTTAACAAAAATTTTTAATAGAAATCAATTTTTAATCAACTTCCCCTGCACTTCACGAGTCTTACTGATGCTAACTTTTTTTTCTATACCATTAGATATCTCATTCTGGAACTTAAATGTTTGTGTACCCTTACTTTTATATCTATCATGGAGAATCAGAGTTTGCTGTCCTGCTTGCACTCAGAGAAAATGATAGCTGTCCCAAAGATTGTGGAAATTATTTATTTGTTGGTATTGCATGACACAGAAACACAGCAAGCACAACTGCACTTAAGTTCATTGGGTTCACTGTATAATCTTGTGGCAGAATATGTTAGCTGCCTGCAGAGCTTAAGAACTAGAAATTAATTTATTAATTTCTTCATGTATTGGAGAAGTGCAATGAAGATGGACTGATCATGCTCTGGAGGTATAATACAGAGGGTAGTGTGACAGAAATCTTGGGAAGATAGGTCAAGTTACCTACCTACATGTCTGTATATATATATTTGTTTGTGTACTCATGTTTGTGTGCGTACACACATGTATACGTTTGTGGAGACCAATATATATGTATATTTTATTTCTAAAAAACAGTTTTCCAGTGCTGCATGGACCATCTGAACACAGTTCACTTTGATGTTTAACTTTCTCTTATTTAAGGATACTATTCTAACAGAGAAGAACTATTCATATGCTTTTGTTATTCAAATTGTTATATGCAGTCCTGTAAGTCAGCAGTCAGAAAACCACATACTGCTCTCCAAGACTGAAATCTATTCTTTTTCATTTTCTTTTTCCTTCTTCCAAACTCTGTTTATTGGCAAGGTCAGTTCTAGAATATTGTTGGAAATTGCTGTGAGGAAGCTTGTTAAGATGTTGCAGAGACATGGCTTTGTAGTTCTGCCTCGCATTAATGACATGCTATTTCACAGAACAACTTTTTTCCTGTCAACAGAATGCTTCTACATTACTTTTAAGTGATATAAAAATAATTTGGTGCTTTAAAAGGGACTGTAAGGACAAAGTCCTTTCTTCCTTCACAAAAAAAAAAATAATATTGTTTTACAGGAAGAAGCTTACTACAATAGAGTAGAGCATTGCCGTGGATGTAAACAGTAGCAGCAGCTATGATATTGAAACAATATTGAGTGAGGTCAACAAGATCAACCACTTAAATGCTCATACAAAAGATAAGAAACCCTTTCACTTTGCAGTGATATCCTGTGTGTATTTCTTGAACATGAACCCAGTAGGAGCTCTCCCAAGATCTTTGGAGGAGGGAAGAGCCATTACAGGCCACATGCTGAGTTCTACCTGCCTAGCCCACAAGGACAGATCCAGTAACTTTCAATGGAGATCAGTGGCGCCAGTCCAAGCTCGTGAAAGGTTTTGATAAAAAGGAGCTGAGCAGGAGGCTAATTGCTTTTGTCTAATGTATTTTCTGCAGTCATGAGGATACAGAGAATATAGACTTGTGATTTGGTATGAAAGTTTGAAGGAAAAAATTTAACCCAAGAGCGTAGAAGACATATGCTGCCTTGCACTGGTTTATATCTCCAGGGACTTATATCTGTTCAAAAAGCTTTGAAAAAAATTATTTTTTTTTGTTCTCTCATTCCAAGTTACTGAGTCTTCAGCTTGCAGCAGCAGGAAATTATATCTAATTCGTGATTAAAAAAATCAGTCCTTTTTGCTATTGTATAATCTGATCTTCAAGTACTTTCTCTGCAAGTATAGAGATTTCTCCTCACCCCTGTCTCTTAACATTTTGGGATTATTGGTAAATTTATCTGTGAGGATGCTTGGAAATTTACAATATTTGTTTCTTGTAATTTTCATGTAAATAGTGACCTGTCTGTTGAAGAAAATGTGTTGCCCAGCTGGAGGTGCCCATAATTTGATGGAAAAACAGAAATTGGCCCAATCAGTTTATGTCATTTTAGTGTAGTAGATAGATCAGATGTCTCTTTTGGAACAGCAGTTCAGTAATACTTCTTGTATAAAAATATGTCATTTTCTCTATCATGTGGATATTCACCCCTACCCTCATCATCATGTAAGTCTTTGATCCCATTGTGGGAAAAAGTCATCTGTCTCAACTGTGGAAGAAATCAAATGCATTCTGTTTTCTAGAGGATTATAAATTCAGTGACAGATGATAAAAATGAATATGTTAATAAATAGTTTTTAAAAAAATTAATAATACTCTTCAACAATGAAAGTAAGGTATGCTGGATTTTTGTCCTAACTCTTCACCTCTGACTGTTATTCAAGCTTATATAAATGATGTTTTCTGATCTTTTTCTGAAATGCTGCATTGTTGCAACTAAGTAATGTAATTGTGAGCAAATAAAAATGTAATAATGAGGTAAGAAGAATAAAAAACTAAAAGGCAATATTTTTTGCTTAAGCTTCAGAAAGAAATTTTGATCAAGTAAAAATGTTATTTTTCACATTTAGTTGTATAATATTGAGTCAGAATGTGGTTATTATGCTGGAGTATAGGAGAAGGACTATAACCTCACTCTTAGGGTAAGGTTATATAAAGAAAAAAAGACTGGTTGTCATCTATAATTTTGCCTGTAGAGCGGTCAAAAATGTTCTTACATCATTGTTCAAAGAACAAAATATCTCAGTATAGAAGGGCTTTTTGCAATGCAGCTTCCCCATCTTAGGATTCATACCGAAGTCATTGATTTTTTAAAAAAGCTTTCATACTAGGATTCATTGTAGCTTTCATGTAGCATCCTCATTTATTTCAGATTCAATTCTTCAAAAGAGCAGAAGGGATCAAGGGAGTAATTTTCAACTGAATTTTGGTGGAAAGTGGCTGTAAAGTTTCCTGAATGCTTTGCAAATTATAACTTTAAACCTTATTACAAAGGAAACTGTGCAATGGCCTTTGGATGTAACCTTCTTAACCATGTCTAGTTAGTGGGGGAAACTAAAATAGAAACCATTAATGATGTTGCTGCCTGTGAAATTCTCCATATAAATTGAAATTCTCATATATATATATATATATATATGTATATTTACACACACTACCTCAATTTTTCTAATAAGTAATATTTTATTTAATCTGAAATAAAAAGTCTTGAGTAAAGAAAGCTAGATTGGCCTTCTATTCAAGTCTGCCACAATCATGGTATTTAGAATCAGTAGCATAGATCTAAACAGATCTATGTATGCAATGACATAACAGACAGTTTACAAAAGAGTGCCAAGAGACACACCCAAAATACATTGCAGAACCAGAAAATGTACCTAAGGACAGCCCTGACTAATCTACAGTGATGGCATACAAGCTTGAAGACCAAGACCTTTATGGGTTTTTTCATTTGGATTTCTCCAACTGATACTGAAAAAGTATTGCTGGCTTCATATCACTTTCCTAATTTTTACTGAAAAAACACAGATTTTGAAGTGTATTTATGTGGAAAGTTGCATCCAAGGGGGATGGACTGGACTACTAATGTCTTCTGTTCTTTATCATGTACAGTATGGAAACATCTATAACATCTAAACATGTAAAGTTATGCCAAATTGTGCTCGCCTTTATTTTCTGACAGAGGGTCAGCAGGTGTAGATGTGAGGTGAAAGTTCTAGAGCCCTTTCTCTTGAAGGCACAGATTGAAGACTATTAATAAGATGTTGATATAGGGGAAGGTGTCCTGAGTTGTGCAGCTCCTGAATGGCAACAGGGCAGGATGCAGAATGTTCACAGCAAGCTTGTCTAATGTGAACTCATTTTCCTTTTTCCTGTGAGCTTTCCTATCCAGAATGAAGAAGTGTAGTATTTTATTGAACAAAACGTTACAATCCTTCTAATATTTTATGAAGAATTTATTTCACTAGGTTAGGAATGTCTTTTTAACAAATTACAATCTAAAATTTTTTTAATCAAGAACAATGTAAGGAGAGGAGGAGGTTTGTTCCACCTGGTAGAGAAAATACAAAAGGGAAATCATAGAGAAGCTGAAGGGGGTACAATGAATTGTTTACTGCTTCCTCTACTATTAAGCATGTAGCATGGGGCTCCTAGTGTCATTTTCAAAGTAAATGTACTCTCCTGCCTAGGTCCCAGCTGTGCTACTCCTGAAATTTATAGTTAAACTGTAAAATTCTGACTACTTCCCATCTCTTTTTTCCATAATAATGTGACTTGCAGGACTGATAAAAATGTCCTTGTTCTCAGTAGTATAAAAAAAACAAAGTCTTTCATCGAGCAATACAAGAGATGACAACTGAGCCCTTTAAATTAATTAATTATAAAAATGAGAAAAAAAAAAAGACACACCAAAAATGTAATTAACTATAGGCAAAACAACAGAGAAAAGAAAGAAAGAGAAGCTTCATAGCTGAAAAAAAGCGGAGAAAATATACTCCCATTTCTGAATTGCTTTTGCTTGGTTTTGGAAAAGTTGGAATGTATGTCTGTTACAATTTTTCACCTCTGCCCATAAAAAAGCCTAAGTGATCACTGTAAAAATAATGTGACCAACTGCATGCTGAGGATATAGATGAAGGATGTTTTAGGGTGATAAAGAAAGTTTTTGTTATGATTAAGTCAGGAGAATATAATGGCAATCTGCAGATGTGGAAGTAATGATTTTTATACTGAGAAATTTATGAAAAGGAGCAGATAGAGTTAGTGCTGAATCATATCATATTTGGCGTTATTGCCTGGCTTGCTTTTCCCTTGTGAATTCTGATATAGTAAAATTTGCCCTGAGGGCTGCTTACACAAGGCTTGTAAGTACAGTCCTTAAAAAAATCCTTGCATAAACACCAGAAGCATCTGTTTTATAGTAGCTTTATAATTTAGAACTTCTTAGTTTATCTGTCATTTATAGTTTTTAAGTCCTCAAACACAGCAGATAGTTTTCAACTTAATGAGCCTCATTATAGCAGCTTTGCATAGTAAGAAGGCATATAAAGGCAGGAAAGTATCAATAAGTACATTTTGCATCATTTTAACAGCTGTATTGGGACAGAGATATGTGTAAAAAAAGATGATCTAGGTGGTGAGAAGAAATGTAGGAAGAGATAAAGGTTATAAAAGTACATGGAAGAGTTTTTTAAATAAAAAATATATATACTAGCAAATATCATATATTAACTCTGTTGATTTGTTCTGGTATTGGAAGATAAATTATAACTTATTTCTTGAGTTCAAGTGAACTTTTTTCCTCCATGAATTACAGGCCAGTTTGTTGACTCTATCCAAAAATCATCTGTTTTTTGCCAATGGGGTGAAGAAATCATTATACTAAAAAGGTATCAAATTCAGAGATTTTCATGCCCCAGACTAATTGAAGAAACTTAAAATACTGAATGAAAGGCAAGAATTACATTTAATGCAGTGGTAGAATTTTGAATTCTAAACACAGCTGAACTTAGTTTAGCACAGTCATACTTTTCTTACTTGTAATCCACAACCTTGTGAAATTTAATTTCAGTTGTGAGTGTAAATTAAAAGAAAATGTAATCCTTTATTTCATCTACATGATTTTAATGGAAATTGACTGTCAAAAATATTTTCTGCTCTTAAGATGTGTGATTAGTTTTTGTGACTAATCCCTAGAAGGAAGTTAATTCAGTGTAACAGATTTTTGATTGGTATTGTATGATACAATACTGCAAGGAGCATTATTCTATTTAATGTCATGGGTTTTTATTTTCCCCTGCAATTACCTCTTTTTCACAGTTTCCCTTTATTCTGTATGTTAATAGAAAAGAAAGTTAAAGCAGTGCAGTTCTGCATGTGGAACCCAAGTCAGCTGCTGTAGACTTTCGTTTAACACCAATGCAGTAATCTGAAAGTTTTGTTAGTTCCCCCGAGATCTTGCTGCCAGGCAAGAAGGGAATTGTCCTGCTCTGCTCTGCACTGAAGTGGCCTCACCTTGATTGCTGCATACAGTTTTGGGTGCCACAGTACATAAAAGACATAAAGCTGCTAGAGAGCACCCAAAGGAGGGTCACAAGGAGTGTGAAGGGCTTGGAGGGGATGCGTTATGAGAACCAGATGAGGTCACTTGGTTTGCTCAGCCTGGAGAAGAGGAAATTGAAGGGAGATCTCATTGCAGTCTTCAGCGCGCTCACAGGGGAAGTGGAGAGGCAGTTGCTGATCCCCTCACTCTTGTGACCAGTGCCAGGACTTGAGGAATTGCCTGAAGTTGACCCAGGAAAGGTTTAGGTTGGATATCCTAAAGGAAAAGAGAGTGGGTGGGCACTGAACAGGCTCCCCAGGGAAGTGGTCACAGCACCAGCCTGAGAGAGTTCAAGGAGTGCTTGGACAATGCTCTCAGGCAGAGGGTGTGACTCTTGGGGTGTCCTGTGTAGGGTCAGGACTTGGATCTGATGATCCTGGTGGGTCCTGTCCAATTCTGCATATTTTATGATTATTTCTTCTAATATGCCCACTTTTATTCAAGCGTTAGAAAAGCCTAGAAAAACTTCCTGGGAACTAATAAAAACTTTTTTCTGTCATGCTACTTCTACTTTACATAAATGGAAATTCCATGGTTCCAGTGGGAAAAAAAATTTTTCTTTGATATGCCTGTTTTGCTTCAGAACAAATAGCAGCAATTGTTTAAAAAATTAATGCTTTAAAAGAATAACAAAGGAAAATTTTAAACAGTCCCTGAAGGTCCATGACATGAAAGACTTCTACAAATAGCAAGGTATCTGTTAGGGATACATCAAAATGTTATTGGCTTCAATCTTTTGTTTTTCTAACTACCATTGGGCTTTGGTGTACTGCATTTAGCTGTTATTTGAAAAATCTTTACTTTGTAAAAAATTTATGTGTGAGTTAATCATCCTGTTTTTCAGCTTTTTACCATGCAGTGACTTAGTGATGTTTAGATTACTTTGGCTTGAAGAACAGAAATGAAAAATTAAAGGGGCAAAATAAATGTATGCTTAGTCAAATTTCACCTGTTACTAGAATGAAGATTTTGTTTTTTGTCTTTATGCAACTGGACTTTAATAAATTCAATTAAGTGGTGCATCTCAGAGTCAATGTAAGGCTACCAATAATTTATATCTTTACCAAAGTTACTGGAAATATTATAATTGCTGTTAGGATTAAGTTTTTTTATTTGTTTTAATTTGGAACAACATAGATTTATTTAGACACTGATCAAATAATGCTGAAGTGGTGGTTTAACTTAAGGCCTGCTCACACAGCCATTTCCTCAGTCTCCCCCAGTGGTGTGTGAGAGAGAATATTAGAAGCGATAAAACTCATGGGTTGAGATAAAGGCAGTTTAATAAGTAGAAAAAAAGCCACATACACACACATGCAAAGCAAAGCAAGGAATTAATTCACCCTTTCCTGTGGTCAGGAAGGTGTTCAGCCATTCCCAGGAGAGCTGGGCCTCATCATGCCTAACAGTGATTTAGGAAGGCAAACATCATCACTCCAAACATCCCTCCCATTCCTCATTCTTCACCCACGTTAGAGGCTGAGCATGGTGCCATATGGTCTGGAATGTCCCTTTGGTCAGTCAGGGTCAGCTGTCCCACTGTGACCCCTCCCAGCTCCCTGTGCACCCCCCACTCTCCTCACTGGTGGAATGGGGCAGCAGCAGAAAATATCTTGGCTCCAAGTGCTGCTCAGCAATAACAGCACAAACATCCCTGCGTTACCTACATTTTTCCCAGCACAAATCTAAAATGTTCCCCCATACAAGCTACAGTGGAGAAAATTAACTCCATCCAGCACAAAAACAGCATAGCTGGCACATGTGTCAGGCACACCTGCAGAGATAAGTCACAAACAGCATCAAGTCCAGTGGAACAACAACTTCTGCAGTGACAATGTTTTTGCACCTTCAACCCCCAGAATTTCTCTTCTTTTTCTTGGAAAGAAAAGAAGCAAAAAGACACAGTGTTTGTTCGTAAACTACCTTCCAATTCCAAAGTTAATTTTGTGAAATTGCTACAGGCTGGTTGCACAAAGAACCAAAATAAGCCTAAGAATCCATTGCCTGCTCAGGGCTTTTCAAGGTCTCCCAGACTAGGCAGGTTTTTAATGTAGAGCTCTACAATTTCAATCAAAGGTGTGACTTTTTTTCTTTTGTGAATTTAGCTAAACAGTTTTTCTCAGCAAAACATCAGTAATCTAAAAATTGCTGAAATATCTAATCTAAAATCTAAATCAAGCATATAAATTGCAGTAACAATCTACCTTACTCAGAAGATTAGGTGTATGAACAAATTCTACTTTAGGTTTTGTATTTGGTCTCTTCTGTGATGTGGATTCTGTAGCAATATACAGCATGGTTGAACCAATTTCTCAACTTCAGAACACAGAAAAGCACTACTACTTCTGTTTATTCATTAGTTTTTAGTGGTTCCAGACACTGGAAATCACTTAATGGGTTTGGTTTTGCAGACTGGTATTTGACCTCTTTCTGTTGATTACTAAGTATTTAGCCATTTTAGTCATACATGTAACAAGTGTTAACAGTGTACTCTAGAACTTGAAGTCCTTAATAGGATTTACTATTTCATGATTTATTTTTCTTTTCGCAGGGATAACACTCTACAGCCAACCATATGGAGGAGCCTTGTTGGATGAGGACAAAATGTGAGCAAACTCTTAAAATATTTCACAGCAGCAATCAGCAGACAATTGAAACTCTCAATTAGATAAGAATATATGGTTCCTGGAATAGAGGCTGTGAATTGAAAGACACAATTCAGTTCTACTGAGTGAATAATTTTTTACTGTGGTCTATATGTAAAGTCCACTGTTTATACCCAAAATAGTTGCAGTATTTTGTAAAGAAAAATACTGAATTTATGGTGATTGTGTAATAAGTTTTAAACAGAGTAACTATTTCAAATGATTTTGAGGTTTAAATTATAGTTTTCTGTAAAGGGAAAATATTTGCAGAGGCCTCACTTTACAACTCAGACACATGCTGTGCTTTGTAACTCACCTATAGTTTCGTAATTTAGCACATCTTGTTCCTGTTCTTTAATTAGATGTTGACAGTGAAGAGGCATTGTGCCCCTGCTCATTGCAGGATGCTAGAATGTAGATGATCTTTTAAGTCCCTTCCAACCCATTCTGTGATTCTATGGTGTTTGCAATCAGGATTAAAGTCCTAATGTCTAGAGGTGAGAGGTTGGCCTGAAAAATGCTAGCATTTGAGGAGTTTTCCCCCATTGTGTTTTCATTGCACTATTTTGCTTTTTACCCTAGAATGGAGAATGTTCGTCAGTGTGGGGTAGCCCTGTGTATCATGCTGGGATTCTCCATCCTTACTGCATCCGTTGGAACTGCCATAGTGAGGGACAGAGTATCTGGGACAAAACGCTTGCAACACATCACAGGCCTGGGTTACAAAACTTACTGGCTTGCTAACTTCTGCTGTGATATGGTATGTATTGTGTGAGGCAGCATGTGCTCAGGTGTACACTTTATCCTAGTTTCTTATAAATGAGTAAAAGGAGTTATGGTGACAAGATAATGAATGAGATTTGAATTGGGCACTGACAGCTCTTGGATGACATGCTAACAAACATGAAGTCACCATTCCTACTTTAATGTGGGCAGGGATTATGTTCCTTCCTTCCCAATGTTGAATTGTAAATGATTTGCTAGCTTTAGCTATGTGCACTATTTTACAAATAAAAGGAAATTGGCTAATCAGCCTAGACAGAAAGAATCTTCCACATAGCAGCTCATAGCAGGAATTTCTATGCTTTGAATTTTGCCTTGCATTGGCAAACCAGACAAATTAGTGGAGAAAACTGAAAACAGTAGTCAGCTACTTTAAGGCATAATTGTGTTATGTGTTGTTGTGGATAATATGATAGATACTTATGATTAGTTCATTTTATTTGTGTCAAGGAAGTGGTGGAGTCACCATCCCTGGAGGTATTTAAAAGCCATGTAGATAAGGCGCTGAGGGACATGTTTTAGTGGTGGACTTGGCAGTGCTGGATTAATGGCTGGACCTGATGTTCTTAAGGTCCTTTCCAACATTTAGGTTGGATTTTATGGCACCCTGGTCAGGAACAGAAATTTTTTGAACTCTTTGTTTTCATTTAGACTGTTCTAATTCTGAAACATTAGATCTTCACCCATCCATGCTTGAAATCAGAATTTTCACACTTGAGCAATCTTGTGGTAAGAGCACGTTTTTCCATAAAATGTAACACTTGGGTTTTAAGTAAATAACACTTGGGCAGTCAGTCTTGGTATTTCTTTTTGCTGCTCCTTCAGATAAGAAGGCTTGGTTAAAAACAGTCCTTCATCATTCAGTTTCTCCTTGTGAGCAAAGTCAACTCCTCATTATTTTCTGCCAATCTCTCAAAATGTTCTCACAAATTCAACACAGTACAGCATGATCAATCATGATGTGGGAAAGAATAGACACTGCTTTAAATGCTAATTGTGCCACAGATCATTTAGGGACACTGAACACATGAATATATGAACTGTCAAATTTTAAATCCCTCTATGTATTTTAAATATTACAGGCTGTGTCCTGTATTACTGGTAGCATAATCTTTACTAGGACTGCAGAAGTATTTGATTTATGATATTGCTCTCATGAGAATCAGGCTGTTCTTACTGTATTTATAGGCATGAATGGTATTCATTACTATGTTCAACAAATGGAAAAAGTGTAAGTGCTAGGAAAATTCGAAGAGAAATAAAGACATTTTGTTCAGATTAAGCTTGTGTCACTAGAGGGGCAAAATAAAAGCTGTTTTGTTGTACATGCACAACTTCTGTAATATACCATGATATCAGGGTAAGATTTCCAAATGAATTTGATTTTAAAGTTATTGAGTTATTTCTCAACAGAAGCCCCAGGTCTATTGAAATGTACTGGGACTCAAATGCATTGTGACTTCTCTAAAATATTTTTAAACAGCTTCAGGATAACTGAAACATATATCTATGGGTGGTATGCTATGATACTTGTATATGGCAAAGAAGAGCTACACTGTGAATGACATTGCATCCATCTACATTTTACTCCATTGCCCTTCTCTTAAAAAAAAAGCATGTTTTCCCAGTAGCAAAGACATGATGGCCTCTGGTTTAATTTGGAACAGGTTTTCCCTGTATTTTGGTCTGAAAGTATAATTTTAACAGCATGTTGTTCTTCTACACTGAATATTTAGCTAGACCTTGATTTGTTGCCTCTATTGCAGAAGTATCTCAGAATCTCAGTTCTATTAGGTTAAAGATATAAAGCTAATATTACGTAAGCAGAAATGGAGGCAGTCAGCACCTAGTGAGCTCAGGTTCAGTGCACAGAGCAGGAAGACACTGAAAATGGAGCTGAGCACAGATCTTCACATCCTGACATTGCTATTTGCAAGCAGAATCCCTCTCCCTTAAATACTTGAATTTGAATCTTCTGTACCAATCCCACCTTGTCACCCCTAAGTATTGGTTGCCATTATGTCAAGAGATTAAAGAGAGAAACTCTTTTCCCTGTTGCTTAATGGCTGTAATGCTTTTACATATTTTTAACATTCCAAATAAAATATGTAATTTGCTTCATCAGCACACATGGTCCTTCATTAAAATCTCTTTTAAAATTGCATCATTATTATTCTCCCATATGAATGCAGCACCAATCAGTAAAACTGCTGTTTCTGAAACCAAGCTTCTGTATTCACAGTGTAATTTGATGTTTTGGAGCAATGGCCCCACACGGACTCATTATCTGGAAGAGTCAGCTTGTTAAATGGATGTATTGAAAAGGTCAATAAAAATAGGATTAAAGGGGATATTCTGTAGTCAGATTTTATCTTGTCAGGTTGTTTCATGTGTAGCGGGCAGTTTCACAGCAGTGCAGACTATCAAATCTCCAAGCTCTTCAGCCTATTTCCTCCTAATTTATAGTATAATTGTACTGAAAGTATGGAGAAGTTAATTTGTAAAACCCTCCTATGCAATTTAGGCAAGACCAGTAAGAGATGCTCACCTAATCATTTTTTTTTTCCTTCTGTTTCTAGCTGTTTTACATGATTCCAGTCACCCTGTGTGTTGGTGTTATTAGTGCCTTCCAGCTATCAGCCTTCACTTTCCGAAAGAATTTGGCAGCCACTGTTCTCCTGCTGATTCTCTTTGGGTATGTGATTGGAAATGCTACTATGGAATTACAGGTTCCAAGAAACAAACATAAATCTTTACATGTAGCTTGCACCTGCTGTTGGATGCATGGTTTTCTGTCTTTGTAGCTGATTATGATTCACCAAAGCATAGTGAGAAAACAGACTGAAACTTGAGTTTGAAAATTAAACAAAAAAGGTGGAGGGAGATTTACTCACACATTAAAAAAAAAAAAAAAGGGAGTGCAAACATCTTAGAAGATACTAAGCCTGTATAACAGTAGTTTACTGTTAGAAATTGATTGTATATTATCTTCCAGAAAATGAGGGAATGTTAACATAGGTCAGAATTTCAGTGCTTATCTGCACAGACTATCATCAAGAAAGTAATAAACAGCTTTTATTAAAGCTCTAACCATTTTCTGTAATTCCACATAGCTCCAGGAGTTTATATTTCCAATGAGAAGTCTGTCCAATGCGAAGTACTAGGGTGGATAGAGTTCTGTCTCCCAATAGAACTGTGAGAGAGGAAAGTTCTACCATGCTCTCTTGCTTAGTTTAACATGAAAAACAACAGAAAAAAAAACCAAAACCAAAAACAAACCTACCAAAAAACCACAAAACCCAAAACCAACAATAAAAAAACCCAACCAAACAAAAAACCCAGAAAAAACCCAAAAAACCCTAAAGTAACAAACAGAGAAAAAAAACCCAAAATAAAACAAAAAACAACAAAAAGGAATTCTGTAATAGAAGGTTAAAATACCTGGTTCAATAAAGAATTGATATTTCTATAAAAGTAAGTCTGTTCAACCCTGGGATCAATTATATTAATAGTGTGTTCTGTTGTGTCACTTAAGGGGCAGAATGAAAGTTGTTTTGCTGTACATGTACAGCTTCTGTAATACACCATGATTTCAGGGTAAGATTTCTGACAGAGTTTGATTTTGAAGTTATTTATTTATATAAAGACAGAAGCCCTAGGTCAGTTGAAACATACTGGGACTCAACTCATAGTGGGACTCATAACTCTTCTCATGTGCTGACTTAGGTGATGTTAGAAATGGTGAAGATGAATTGTTATAGGAAACGGCTTCTCAGAATTTTATTACTTATTTCAATCAACTAATTGTTGCTACCCTTGTAGGGGAGAGTGCATATCTTACAGAACAGATGTTTAGATAATGAAGTATAGGTACTTAATGAGAGAATGGTAGGCAAGGAAAGAAGAAAGGACCTTCTACGAGATCAGGTCATGTTCTATTTCAGTAAGAGTCTCAGAAAAACCCTTCAAAAAACCCCCCAATTTACTATATTGTTTCTTTAAAACTGTTTTCAAGGTTTTGTGCCTCCAGCAACTAATTTTTTAGAAACTGTTTAGGTATCCTCAAATCTGGATGTTTTCTTGGAAATTCTAGCCTAAGTTTATTCAGAACCATAATTCATAATTGTCCTTCATCAAACACCTTTTGCAAAACAAAACAAGCCAAGTCCTCTCTTGTAAAACCTTAAAACCTCCAAATTCCTTGCATAATTCTATTTATCTTTTTTTCCTTATAATTGGGCTCCTATTTCCTGGATGTGAATAGCCAAACTAGCATGAACTATTCTAGAGGTCATGATGCTAGGATTTTGTAAATAGCTTGTATGAAAAGTCCAAAGTTCATAATTTCCTCCTCTCTGTATCTTTCTTGTGTACCACCCTCACTTCCTTCCTTCTGCACTTACATCAAGTGATTCCTTCAAGTTAAGGGCGCAAATTCTAACCAGTCTTAGTGCAAAGATTTCACACTATGAATAATAAAAAAAAAGGTGAATTCTCACACCTTTTTTTTTATTAGCTTTACAACCACTGGATCCTTCTTGTGATCCAGTTGCTGTCATATTAGCCCGGCATAGGCTTCTATAGAAGCCCTAGCCAAGCAGCAATTGAAGCACACAGTACAGAGCTGTATGTCTACTGAAGTAGTTTCAGGGTTTTTCCTGGTGTGCCATGGGCTTTGGCCCTGCCGACAGTGTACTATCAAGTGCCAGTTATATTGGCATTGTTTTAACCAAAGAGTTGAGTTAAACTTTGAATATCTCAGAAAAAAAAAGGTCAGTGAATGAAAATGGGTCTTATTTTGTTGACTGCAGATGCAGCTTAATCAGCTCAATATAATCCCTCCTGTACTGTTCAGCTTTGGCTGACATAACAGATGTTGCAGTGATTTTTAACAAGAAAATCTATGTATTCACTGTGTATTAACATATATTAAAGATCCAATAGCTGTCTGTAAGTTTAACATGTCTCAAGGACATTGATAAACTTCACAGTTATCACTCTTCCTAGTCTACCCTTTATTCAGCCTAACTACACCAAAAATATGATGAAGCCTATTGTGGCCATTTTATTCTTCCCCAGTACTGTGCGTATAATCCTCTTTCATCTGCATGCCCTCACCATCTGCGTTTTTTTTCTTTAAAATTTTATTTTTCTCTTCAGGATACACTTGTGTGGATTTTCTGATCTAGAACAAAGATAAAAATAGCCCAGTTATATACAACAAAGTTAAAGAGAAGAGAGTGTGGTCGAAAGAATAATCAAGTTACTTAGTGTGCTACTTTAAAAGTGACTTCCTTTAAAAATAAAACTAAACTGCATATTTTTCTCTTTTAGATGATTGCAGAGGTGTTTTCTAGTCCAAATGCTTAAGCAGTCCAAACTGTTCTGTCTTTTATAGAACAGGAAAATACTAAATTGCAACTGCAGCTGAGGGAAGAGAAAGAGGACAGAAATGTAGGTGTAACTGGCCCCAACTTTAAAGACTACATTTGAACATCATATAACTTTTGGAGTCTGAAAGTCTTACTCGTTTCTTAGCAGTTATAAGCAAAAAAAATCAAATTTTGCTTTCATTTATAGCAGAGCAGCAACACTGTAAATCATGTCTATTTCCCGAGCTGTTTCCAAGGATGGACTTGTATTTATGATATTGTTATTCTGAGAATAGTGATTTTGGTATGTGCATCAAGGGAAAGAAAGATTGTGTGATTAAGACTGGAAAGAGAATGCTGAAAAGTATAGTGGGATCTTGAATACTTACAATTTCATTTGAGACCCAAACATTGAGTCATTTAACCTTTATCTTCCTGAAAACTGAAGATAACATTATATTACTTCCCAGCAGAGTTTGCAAGTCTGTTTTTTAAGGTAAAGGATTTTGGCATTCTTCAATGCAAAAGATTCATCTATAAAGTACAGAATACTGAATTCGACAGGGAATGACTTAGTTGAGTATTTAAAGTCATTTAATAAAATGACTTTTATGACTTAGTTTAGTAATCTAAACTATACTTTAGGGCAATGAAGAAGTGAATTCACAGACTTTTGGCTAGTTGCTCTTGCACTGAACTCACTATTAAAGCAGTTACATATTAATATTATACAGGAAGTATTTATATATATGCTACATATATACTTATTGTTGAACGATAGTGTATGCTGATACATATGCTCCTGCAGTCTATATACTGCTTGTTTGACAGATATATCTTGCACTATGTTGAATGGAAAATAAATTTTCTTTACATGGCATGCATGTGCTGATTGCCTGGACCTTATTTTAATCTTATTTTAAAGAGATTATAAACATCTCTTTATAAATAAAAAACATGTACGTGCTCCATTCTGAATAGGCATCATTTGATTTGTCTTGGTGGAGGTGCCTTCCTCCTTCCTTTAAAAGTTCTCATTGAAGATGATGTAACCATGGACATGCTGTCTTATTCTCATAGTGTTATGCACTCATTTTTGACAGCTATTACTCTACTGACAACCTGCTTAAAGTAATAACATGGTCTGTAGGATTTTTCAATTCTCACATATCACCAGCACAAATACTAGTTCCAGTTTGAAAATTATTGGGTTTTTATTTATTTTTCTTTGCTTTCTTTTCTCACTACCTCGTTTTTCTTTTTTTTTTCTTTTTTTTATGAAAGCCTCTCAGAAAAGATTGTGGCTCAGCATCCACAATTTAGGCTTTAAATATTTGATTTTAATTCTATATCTGCGTAAGAGGCTTGATAAGGTGCATGGATTTGCAATCATTCAGAAATTAAGATTTCAAGCTTTCTGGAACAGTCAAAGTAAATATCTACAGCTGATATACACATAAATGGATCATATGTGCACATAACAAGGCAGTAAATATGTGTACATCTATGGAAGTATAAGCCAATTTTTGAAAGAATATCTATCCCAAATTGGTCCCTTTTTTAAATCACTTGTTCTGAAGAGCTGTTCGCCTGTCTTAAGGAACAATAATTGTGATTTTTTTTCTACTGTGATAACTGACTTTTTTGGGGGCAAAAACATAACTTATTTGTGACAATTTTGTTTCTTTAAAAGCATAACTTATTTGTGACAGTTTTGTTTCTTTAAACTTTCAGATATGCAACTTTACCTTGGATGTACCTTGCATCCAGATTCTTCTCCAGTTCAGATGTAGCTTTTATTTCCTATATCTCCTTAAATTTTGTGTTTGGCCTGTGTACCATGCTGGTGACTCTCTTGCCTCGCTTATTAGCTATAATTTCCAAAGTGCAGGTCAGTATCAAATTTTTGGTTTACCTTTTTCAAAACTGACATGTATACACACAGATAAATGCATATATATATTTGAGAATGTTTGTGTGTGTTTATATATTTATACAGATAAGATTTCTCCTGAAGAAATATATACGGTTCTTATATATTCATTATTTTTCTGTATTGACTGTTACCATCTTGAATTTTAACTTGTATATAACCCAAAAAAGCATGCTGTAATAATGAAAAAACTGTGTTAATTGAAACTTTGACATTTTCTAGACCATTAAGTTGTAATTGGTACATAATTGGAGCTGTTCTGGTCGATTAAATAGATTATATGCATTGTAAAATGTGTTTGAATAATATTGACATAAGAGATAAGCTGCATATTCCTAGGATCACTAATGAAATGTATGAATAGTAATTTATACAGCACATTCTCACTCCATGTATGTGTTTTTAATTAGTCATAACAGTATTTAAACAACTTGATGGAAAGGACTTCCAGAATGAGTATGACTCTGTTCATGTACAGGTCAAAAACTTGATGTTTAAAGTCAAATCTGGATAATCTGTCATGCAAGTGTGTAAGCAAATTCAGTAATCACTTGGGTTTAAGTTCGTGATTTAAATTTGATATTATTCAAATATTGAAATGTTAAGGAAATAGAAGAATCATGGTTACATGTGTTTTGATGCTGTCTATGAACTTCAACTAAGATCAGAATGCCATGGCTGTAGAAAGTCTAAAATGCAATATTATATAACCCTGAACCCCAAAATAGTTCACAATACGTTCACTTTAGAATTCAGTTTACCATGAGTGAGATTTGAATGCAGTATCCAGTTTTGCAAGTCTGCTCATTAGGCTGTTGGAGGAAACTAATTTTTTTCTCTTTTATCTTTATTCTCCTTCATCCTTCCCGTGTCTTAATACAGAGTTTTCAGAACATCTACACTATCCTCAAATGGGCATTCATCATATTCCCACAATTCTGCCTAGGCCAGGGCTTAATAGAGCTTTCATACAATCAGATCAAGTTTGACCTGACCAGGAACTTTGGAATAGATTCTTACGTGAGCCCCTTTGAGATGGACTTCCTGGGCTGGATCTTTGTGGCAATGTCCCTCCAGGGAACACTACTACTTCTGTTACGTCTTTTCCTTCATTGGGATCTCCTCTGGAAATCAAGGTTTGTTATCATTTGTATTCTGCCACACTGTGCTCTGAACTAATTTTCGGAGACAGAAAATGGTGTGATCCTTTGAACAACTGAAGATAAATACTTCTGATAATATGGTGTACCTGAAGTAATGTAAACTACAGAAAAAATACAAGTAGTAGTTTTTCCCTTGAGTTCTGATGAGAATTGATCACCAAGCACTAAGGGATTACAACCAGGAAAATAAGAGTTATGCAGAATGCAGCAAATTATGACCAATTTTCCATGTATCACTCATTATCATCCTCCGCTGTAGGGGTCATTGCTCAGTTAACAGCACAGACAGCCCTTCAGAAGATGTTGATGTGGAAATGGAGCGACAGAGACTCTTTGGTGGAAGAACTGGTAATGATGTTCTACTTCTGTACAACCTCAGGAAGTGTTATGGAGGTTTCAGTAAGAAGAACACAGCTGTGGAAAACATAAGCTTGGGCATACCAAGGGGAGAGGTAAAGGAGTCTTTCTTTTCCCCCTTTTATGAAGTAACACTTTATTCTGAGCAATTGTTAAGACATATTCAGTGTGTCTACAGTGAAGGGCTGGTGGATAGCAGCAGAAAAAAATCAGTTGATTCAGTTGTAGTAATTTCTGAAAATTGGAAAATTGGAAACTGGATAAAAGAAGAAACTCTGATGGTGCTGAAGAAGAACTGTTCATTTATTTTTTTAGTTAAACATTCATCAGAGTCTTAATTTTTTACTTCTTGCTTATCTTTACCAAATTATTCTACTTTAGGCTAACATAAGTAAGGTAGCATAGCAGTTTAGTGTTGAAAGAGAAAACAGAATACCCAACTCAATAGCAAACTATGGACTGCATCCTGAATTTGTTACCACAGCACATTTTTGGTTCCCATGCTGAAATCATCACAGTGTTAGCGTTCAGAAACACATAATCACGAGAATGATTATATGCAGGTGATTTGATTGAAGAGCACTGGGTGTTAGGGGTACAAACCCAAATCTGACCTCAACATGGGTTTGGGATGAACATGTTTTTATATTCTATCTTTATATAACTTTCATGTTAATTATTAAACTTATATTGTTCTATTGAATACATAGATTTCATCCAAGCATAGGCTCCTCATGGTCCCCCTCAAACGTCTAACATAGTTTCTCACGATTCTTCTTACGATTAAACAATAATTATATTTAATTACTAAACAATCATCACATCTAACAATTATATCATTTATCATATACTGCTTATGCAGGTGCTATTTCACATGATCTGGCAAACACAAAGCCTAACATTTTCAGAGTCTATTTTTAACATTTTTCCAGGCCCCACTAAGTCTAGCTTCTTACTAATTCCCCAAATTTTATGATTTTAAAACCTTTTACTATCAATAGTACCTTTGAATATAGCATATACAAATAAACTATTTCAATAAATCAAAATTTAGTATTGAGAATATTTATGTTTTGGGGCTTTATTCATTATTTGGATGGTTTGGGGAATTGCAGATATTCATTTCTAAACTACTGAGAAAGAAAATTATTTTCTTGGTTGCTAATATGAAATTGGAAAATCTGAGAAACTTGCTCATGTCAACACAGGTGCAGTGATGTTCCTGCTACTTACTGATCAGCTGTTGGGTAACTGAGGTAACCAGGAGGATATTATTGGTGATTAAAGCCTATAAATCAATAAGAAAGTTCACGAAGAAGGTATTTATAAATCATAAAGGGCTATGTAGACTTAATATGAATCCTATCCTAGCTTAAGCATAAAGTTATTGCAGCTAGGGGCCTGAAATAAGTGTTCAAAATGTGTGTGTCTCTTGGATGTTAGATATTCAGTCATACAGAGTGAAGCAGCTCATGACAAGCTCAGAAATATTCACTCTATGGACTGATATCCAGAGTTTGGAAGCAAGACCTAAAATCCTCCTGTTCAAATGTAACATTTACTAATAATATGGATAAATAATGGTTTGGATTGTTGGGCAGGGTTTAAAGAGGAGGGCTAGAATGCTAAATAAGTCACTTCTGGTAATTAGCACACACATTGTACCCATATATAGTTTCTTACAGACATATAATAGGAAACATGGAAAGGGGAGAAATTTGAAGAAGTAATATTTATTTTTTCAGTATACCATATTGATTTTTTTTCCCAATATCTCTGATAGTGTTTTGGACTCCTGGGAACAAATGGAGCTGGGAAAAGCACAACATTTAAGATGCTGACTGGAGACATCATCCCATCTGCAGGACGTGCTGTTATCAGGACTCCTACTGGGTAAATAACACAGGGTTTGATCAGAATAGTGCTAATTGATAATGCACATGATCAAAGACTCAGCATGTCTTCAGTCTTTTATACTGTACTCTAGGGACCCATTTTGTTCTCTTTTAAATGTATATTGCTTTGTTGCTGTTAAATCTCTGTGGAAAAGCTTTTTAGCATTATTTAATTCTGTTTGACAGCTGTGTTAATTGAGAATAAACTTGTCTACTAGCAAAAAAGAAACTCTAAGAAGGCTTAATATATGTCCTTTTAAAACTTTAAAAAAAGCTTAACATATGTTAAAATGCATGGACATATATCCCCCTACAAGTTCTGCACTGAAAGTTTCCCAGGCTTAGGTAGATGAGCAGTGCTTCAGGTGGGTAATTTTAAAATATTTTTTTACACTAATGAGTCATTAATTAATTACTTGATCAATATGCTGTGTATTAGGATAAGAGGTAGTGTTGGTGATTTTTATCATTCTGATGGACTGATAAAAGAATAATGGACTTTAGGTCAGATGTAACCAATAATTTTAATTTTTCTCAGCAAAATTGAAGGGAAAAGAAAGTTATTTTTTTCAGTCAGTAGTAAATATGTATACACACATACATAAATGTCTTTTGGGCTCCTTTCTTTTCCTAAATAATGTACAATTCAAAATCTTTTTTAGACAAGGATAAATCAAGAGTTTCATTAAGAAATTTTTAAAAGAAGAATTTTTGAATTTTCAAAATGGCAAGTTACATTTGTTTGGCCTAGAAATCAAATACTTTCATAGGTCAGTGTTTCCTTACTTCTTTACAGAGATAATGATCATCAGATTTAACTTCAAAGATAAGAAGCTTCAGTCATTGCAAAAATCAGTTTTCTGGAAAATTTGCACTTTTGAAATGGACAATATCACCAATATATAACATAATTTTAATTCAAAGTGTTTTCTCATTATCTGTTATAGCAAATCACACAAAATGTAGATCATAAAGCAGAAATGATTTTTAAAAACCGTTTTTAAAAATGGATTTTGAAAAAAGTATTCTTAAGAGAAGAAGTGGTGTGAGCGAGACTTTAAAACGGTTAGAGAGACTTTTAGATGGTTGTTTTCACTTATAATTTTCCAGATTTTTTTTTAAATAATTTTTTTTCTTAAACAGAAGACAGGATTTTTCAGATATTGATCAAAATTTAAAGTAAGAGAAATGATTAAAAATTGGATAAAAATCAACATTTGTTATTCTTTGGAACTGATGAATGGCATTTTACCTCCTGGTACACGATATGATGGAAGTCAGAAGTTTATAGCATGAGTCTGAAGAGGATTTGAGATTTGGAAAAAGGAAATTATCTGTAATATATTTTTTTAAAATAAAATATCTCCATTAGGGCATCAGGACATTTAAGATCCCATGTTTTGTTTTGATTCTGAGCAGTATTTAGCTGTGGATTTTAATAGGGCTTGTCTTGGGTCTTACCTGTGCATTCATGGGCCACATATGACTATCCCTGTGCAATGTTGTTGCAGATCTGTATTTGGGCAAATGATTTGATCCAGTGGGAAAATTGCAAAATTTTAACAGCCACTTGAAAGCAAATATAAAGTTATAAGAATGCAATTCATTATTATATATATTGACACTTACAGTATGTTTGCTGACTGCTGCATGTTTTTTAGAACCCCCTAAAATAATTTTAAAAAATTGCAAAACATTTCACTAATGCCAGTATTCCTTTTATCAGTTGTGTTGCTAGGTACCTGTGGTTAATTGGCTAAAAATGCTTCTGAGGTCAACTAGCCAGCTACTGGATTTTGTCAATAGGCTAAATGCTGTCCCTGGACGCCGTGTGTGTCACTTTCATTTCCCATACTGTGTTTTATAAATCCAACGTGAAAGTATATATTAAGATGCAATTTTATTTACCATATGCTAAAACATAGGTAATGAAATTTGACACGCTTTAGGAGGCTTGAGAGAAAGCCTTAGACAATTGAATTTCTGTGTACAAAATACTCTTGTCAACATTAATTATCGCCTTGTATTATGGTGGTGTCAATCGAGTTTATGGATTTTTTGTGTTTGCAGGGGCTGAAGTGAGTGTAAATCCCATATTCCCAAGATTTCAAAACTTAATGCTAATTCAAGAAGGCTACCTTAAGTAAGAGCTGCTATTACACAGTAGCTAAACTTAGAGAAACAAACTATTTGAGACTGTGAGAAGAAATTTATGTCCCTCCTGGCTTTGTTCCTTGCTTCATTATTTTGGAAACTGCTGTTGAGCAGATCATGGTGCATTGTGTTGCTGTACTCCTGAAAATCACTTAAGAGGCAAGTTTGCTGGCTCTTCTAGAGGTGAGATGGTAACCACAACAGGTCTGGAGAGCCATTCCTCAGCAGCTAAGAATGACCAAAATTACTAATTGCAGGGAATTTTAGGTGGATTTATTTTCATTTATGTCTCAGATAAATGAAGGAAAGTATGGTAAGAAGGCTTGTCCCTGTTTTGCTCTGGTAGTGTACTCAGAAGCCTGCTGCTCCTGGCACAGAGACTACAGTCAGCAGAAGAAAGCAGCTGCAAAACATTTCTTGTTCAGCAGAATTAGATTTTTTTGCTTAAAATTTACATCATGAAGGAGATTCAATAAAAATAATATCTCTGATACCTATTCCTGATGAATAATGCAGCTTAGATGTAGATCCCACCTCTTTTGGGTTTGACTGGAAAGAATACATCTTTTGTCCTCTGTTACTGTGAGAGGATGAGACATTGTACTTTGATCCTTCAAAGAATCATAACATGGTTTGGGTTGGAAAGGACCTTTAAGGTCAAGTAGTTCCAACCCCCCTCCCTGGGCAGGGACATTCTCCACTAGACCTGCTTAATCAAAGCTACGTCTAACCTTGAACACTTCCAGGGATGCAGCATCCATTGCTTCCCAGGGCAACCTGTTCCTGTGACTCACCATCCTCATAGTAAAGAATTTCTTCCTAACATCTAATCTAACCTCACCTTGATGATGTATTCTTCATGATCAAATAATTAAATGAGTATGTAAAATAACTATTATAAACATTGGAGAATGTAACTAATTTTATTCCATGTAGAAAATCATTAATTCATAACAGATTCCATTTCCTTGAATAACTATGCTTCAAGGCTTTTGGTTTAAAAACAAATTAAAAAACAAAGAAACCAAACAAATCCATGCATACCTTTTCCTGCTTGATACAGAATTTGAAATGAAGTCAGAAGTGTCTTTTTGAGGCAGGTGCATTGATAATGACCTTGAATTTTATTAGACAGCAGTTGCACCTTGGAACAACATGAATTCTTGAAATGGAAGATGGGATTTTCCAAAGGTATAAGTTGAACACAAAGAAGAATTTTTGAAAGGTCCACCTAGAACATCTTAAAAGTGCAGGGGTTTATAGAGAAAGAGCCTCAAACACCAATAATCAACTTGTATTCAAGGAGCTTCTGCTACAGTCTCAAAGAAATTTTAAAAATAATCTTCTGAGAAATAACTTCCTTTTTAACAGGACCTAAGAGCAGATTCACAACATCTTCAAGTACTTTTAAAGATTTGTTGTCCTCTAGGTTAGTTGTTTGCTGAATGCTTAATACCACCAAAAAAAAAAGCTTATTCCTAAGAATCTGAGGGAGATCTATGTCTGTTTTCATAACAAAAGCTAATAAAATCCATAGAAGATAGGTATTATGTATGTTAATTTTCAGTATCACTGGGATTCATAAGTCAGAGTGTGATTAAGTGGGAATATTTGTGAAAAACTAAAGCCAACTTCATCTTTTCTGAAAATTGGTTTTTACAGGACTTCTTTGGTGGGGAAATGATTTTGGGGGAGGGAAGGCTTGTGATCTGTTTTAATTGGGGTTTTCTCTTTTTGACACACTACAAATTAAGTAGATATTTTAAATGCACTGTATGCCTGAACTGTGTATCTTACAATTTGTGTGACAAACACACATTTATAGTATACAAGCTGAGCAGTCTACAAAAAACCTGTTTTTTTCTAGTTTTCATATCCCTCTGCAGAAAATGTTTTAGGCTACTTATATAACCTTTGTAGGACCATTCTAGTTGTTACTCTTATGTGATTAAAATAGTCAGAGAAGTAATAGGAATTTAAGACCAACCACAGCCAATCATGTGAATATAATGCCTTTCACAGGGGATTTTACTTTTTAATTGTTTTGTGTACCTCATTAATATCACTGTTATCAGTGACATATCTATGCAAAAGAAACAGAAAAGTAGCTAGCTCCTAGAGAGTGTGTCTCCATATTAGGGATATTTGCCACCTCAATATTGAAGAGTGACAAAGAAATGAGCAGCATTGAAACAGTTACTTCAGAAGGCTTGGAAACAAAATAATGAAAGCAAAGTATGAGGAGTACCTCTCATAAAGGGTGAAAATATCAAAAGTAAAACCAGTAATTACTAGAAAGTAGAATATTTGAATAAGGTTTGTTTACTTGTACTTAGAAAGTATGGTTGGATAAGACAGTAAGAGACCGACAGGCTTTTAAAGAGTTGCAAATCTTAAATATGTTTAATAATTAACTGCATGATCTGCCTGACAATTAGAGTTCTTTGTGTTCTCTGTAGCACAGCTGTTGCTCTACAAGAGTAAAAATGGACTAAAATTATCTCATGCTTGGCTCTACCGCCATAACTAGATTGTCAGCAGTGTAGGAGCTGTCTAAATGAAAGGTAGTGAATGAAACTGTAAACATTTTTGTAGTTACATTTTTGTTAAACAGCTTGAAGAAGTAAGGTCTGCATTGAATATGTACAAACAAAGCTGACACTTAACAAAGTGTTATAACAAAAGAGAACAACATGAGTCTTCATAGCCTTTGAATGTCTGCTGGGCTAATGTATCAGCAGATACTGTACATCTGTTCCACTTTTTTGTGTTTGTGTGTGCTTTGGCCAAGCTTTGTTTTCTTCTCCTTTCTACACTTGTGTTTAAACCCTCCTTAGTGACACTGTCATAAAGGCTCTCTAAAGTGAAGAGCACTAAACATAGCTTTGAAGAGAAAATATCAAAATCCTTTTATGTGTCATGGCAAGGTCAATGTAAAATAATGAATATGTGACTGGTGGTATGTTTGCCTTTTTGGTGCCCTCTATTTTGCAATCTTTTCTGTTGTACTTTGCTGAATGGAGATGACTTCAAGTTCATACTTAGAGTGTAGTGGAATGCATATGCAAAAAAATGGATAAACCAGGTAACATCTTATTCATAAGTTGCCCCATCAAAGACTGAAGCATTTGGCAGTCTTCCTCGTGTAATTAATTTATCTCCCATGAATTTCCATCTTCCTTCTGCACCGAGATCTTCCACGACAGCAATTCCCCATCCTATTTGAATTGTGTCAGTCATCTCAGCTGTTGGATTACAAAGTCATAGGAGCAAAGAACTGCTCTACAAAAAGGAAAAGTAAAATATTTCTTTATAGCTAGAACTTCAACTCTTTTGATAGGTATGATATTCAGCTTGATAAATAATTAAAATGTAGTTCAAATAGCTTAACTTGAAAGGAAGAATAAATTTACATAAATATAATGGCTGAAATGGCTGTTTTTACACTGTATATCAGTATAATTAGTCTAATTATAATGAAGCTATAGTTACATTAATTATATTTTCACCTTGATTTTTGTAATGTTAATTGAGCATTAGAATGCGCTGAATTGAAAGTGCAGTTATGAGTACAATGAAATGTCTAAGTACTTTTGCAATTTGTAAATTTATATTTCATTTTGACTAATTAATGGAATTTATCTCTCTGTAGAAGCAGATATATATATGTGGTATTGTAAGTATCAAATATATCACTGCTTTTAATTGCATTGAAAAACTGCAGAAAAAGCATATAAAAGTGAAACAAAGTGCACAGCAGAGCCAAAAGGGAAAGAATTTTTCCAAAACCAGCCAAAAGACTGATTTCAGGATACTGAGTTGTCTCTGGAAACCCAGCACTGAGGCTTACCTTTGAATTACAGCCCACAACCACCTATAAGCAATGTTGGTAGTAACCCTTGTAAAAATCAAGATCCAAATCTAGTTCTGCAATAGCCACACTTGCCTTCTGGAAACTGCTGGTCCTGTTTTTACCGGAGAAGGAAACAGGTTTTGTCCAAGATCATATTCACTCATCCCAGTGGTTATGTCTCCTTTCAGTGTCAGCAAAGGCTTCTGACTGGAGTGCCCCATGCCACCCCCATATAACCTGTAATCAGATTGCAGGGCTTTCTTTAAGCACTCAGAATAAATAGACCAATGTAAAAAGCCTTGCAATGGTCCGTGGAGGAACAATTCAAAATCAAAAATTTTCTATACTCTGATTTTGATTTATGATCTCAGTATCTTGAAAACATGGCAAGTTTCTTTCCTCAATAGTATAAACCTATAAGGTGAACATTCCATAGTGATGAAAGTCTTATTGAGTCCCGGACATTTTCTCAGGATGTCTTGCACCAAAATATCATGATTCTAGCCAAAATACTTAGAGAGGGATAAAATAGAAAGTCTTCCCTGCTTCAAGTGCTAGACTCCACTATTTTTCTTGAGGATGCCAGATGTTCTGTTGACCATTTCTAAAGAAGCTCTAGAAATAAAATTCTGCAACTTTAAAACTATATTTAAAATATAAAGATTTCTGAAAATAGTCCGGTGATGTCATTTGTTGCAGCTGTTCACTCTAAAAGAAAGTTTAACTAACAAGGGGAAGTATTGACTGAACGTAAGGATGTAGTCTAAAAATGAAGTAGGAAAATGAAGAAAATATGTTTTATATCTTGATCAGATGATGTAATCAAACTTACTATCAGAATTTATAGATAACAAGTACACTGTGTTATTATAAAGATACAGAAAGTTGTGTAGTAGTGTAAAAGCTTAGTGTAAAAGTGTTTTACTCCCCACAGTTTTTAGATATTACATTAGATTTCATTGTGCCTACGGTACTGTGGACAAAAGCCTGAGAGGGGTTGGAATTCATACTTACATGTTCTTTCTCTCTATTTATAAAATGAGCTGATTTTTTCCTCCTGTATGTCTTGTTTTTAATGTGAATAGTTTAGTGAAAAATTATGGCATCCTGATAATAATAGGGCAGAAAACAAATGGCTGTTTTTTTCTGGCTTGAGAATAAAAAGAATCAGCATTTTGCTGCATGCTTATCTATATTTTAGAAAATATTAAAAATATATATTTTCAATTTGATTCTGATAATAGAATATATGATGATATTTGTTAAGGAAGAAAAGGATTATAATTAGTTTAATGAATCAAATCAGAAATTTTTGGAAAAAAAAGGGAAAAATATTTACAGTATATCATTTACTGAGAAGATTTTCTGGTATCAAGCCATCATTACTTGAAATGGTCATTTAATTCAGACCCATAAAAATGAAATCTGAGAGATTAATTGAATTTCAAGGAAAATCAATTTGCTAAGACAGGAGCTTGTTTTCTGCTGTACAATATCTCCTATAATTAAAAATGATAATGTGTTTTTCTTTCATCTATTTTTTATTTATATTGTTTATACCTTCAGAAAAAATGTAGGACCTGACTAAACAAAACTGAATGATAATGTCCAGAATTTTGATTTGGAAATCTACTCTGTGATGTTGACAAGGGAAGACAAGGCGTTATACTTCACATTAAAAAAAAAAAAAAGTATCCTTATATGACTGTTTTTTTTTTTGGTCTTCTGGTTGGATAGCTTTTGAGTTGACAGATAGAGAGATGAGGGGGAGGAGTGAGGTGGAAAGGTCCATGAGTTCTTTAGTGAGTGCCATAGAATCTCTGCATTAATGGAAAGTCTTGAAGTGTTCAGGGTCAGCACTAATGGATAAAGTTGCAAGATAGGGGATCAAACTGAGTAAGAATATTAAATGATGCATTCTCACTTTGCCCTCACTTTATGAAAGCTAAAGGTCAGTGGCTGGGATACTGTTCACCTAAGGCTGGGTGCATTAGATGGACAGAGCACTAGAATCCTGCGTGTACAATTAGCACTGAGGACACTTTTTATTTCCTGATGCAAACTGGAAAAGGAGGCTCTAATATAGTTCTAGCCAAAGAACATTAGATGTCTGTGGTTATTTTGCAGCTGCCCATATTTAACTTTTTGTTCTTCGTGGTAGGGGCCCATTGCAGACAAGATGTTTCTATCCAGCTCCAGAGTTCATGCTGAGTAAATGTCCCTGAAATTACCCCTGAGTGAGATTTGTTCTCTTCTGACTGAATTTGGCATATTATCAAAAGCCCAGACTCTTTTTTCTCAAAAGACAGCAGCTGCACCAAAAGAATATCCTGTGTGTGAATCTTCCTAGCAAAACAAACCTCAGACACATCTCTCTATGTTCAACAGCATCTAGTTAACAGTTCACTGTGAATAGTATTTCGCTATGTTAGAATTAATTAAATAAGGAATCCACTGCTTCTGACTGGTTATATAAGATCAGCATTATTCAATCCACATCTTATGGTAAAGATGATTGTAGAAAAAGGGTTTAATTTGCCATATGTATTATTGGAAACTGAGACAGTAAAAATTCTGGGTATACACCATTGAAAATGTCCTATAGATGGATCTAAAGTAATGTGGAACACTCCTGTTATTCTCTTTCCCCATCACCTTCTATTTTTTGCTAACACTTTATTTAGAGAGGTGTCTATAGGCAGATAACTTATGTAGCACCATCCAAACCAGCCAAGATACCCTGATTTTGTAAGTTTGCCATTAACAGCAAAGGACCATTCTAATTAGTCTATGGCAAGGTTTGTCATAATCATGTCAATTTATCTTTTGATAGCATTAAAATATATTTTCATGCTGTGGTTCATTATGAAAAATGCAGGTTTTTCTTCTCCCCAGACTCCTGAATCTTGTTAACAGGAGATACATATTTATATTTTCGCTAGTGTTAGTATTTGTAGATCCTGCAGTTAACACATTTACTTTGTGTCTAAATGATTAATCATATATTATGTTCTTTTAATCAGAAATGTAGAAAACCACTTAGAGGAAAAATATTCTGTTACTCAGAATCTTTTGAAAACTTTTTTCCTTCAAAGCTCAGATTTTTTTATTATTAAGTATCTTCATTTTGATAGGTCTTTCTGTACATGTAAATCAGCATGGTTGAGTGTTGAATTAGATGCTGGAATAAATAGGATAGATTTAGTGTCATTATGGGTAATGAGACACCCTTGCAATCAAGCTTGCTTCTTAGCAATGAATGTAATTTCAAGTAATGCTGTAGAGCTACAAAGTGAAGGCCAAAGTCTCTGAAATCAGGATAATTTTATACTTTTTCTTGTATTGTCTTTTACGTTACTAGGCTTCAATATCCTGTGTTTTGTTTTGCTATTGTTGTTTAGAGAATGCACGCATGCGTATGTGTGGCCACAGACACACAAAGAGTACCCAGCAAAATTTCCCTCTCTCTCAAGTCCTTCCTCTTCAATATTCAATGAGATGGATATGTATATAATATTGTATATAGTATAATATCCAATATGAGCAATGCATGGTTTGAAATGTGTCTCTTTAGAGCAGGTACTACCAAAAAGATAAGAGAAGTAAAACTGGTGAGCATTAATTCTCATGGACGTCTCCTCTTCATGTGTTGGTCTGTTGACCTTGATACACATGCTGTCACAACAGTGACATGCTGGTGGCTGTGCTAACCCAAAAGGGACCAAAAGTGTGCATAGTGTGTGTGTAGTGCTACACTAAGTAACCAGGGCAAAGAGACTCAAACTCCTTTATCTGCAGACTTCAGGTTATGTGTGTTTGTCTTGTATCCCAAGTGTGGAACCCAGGGCCATGGGATTTGTTCAACAACATTCGAATCTTTTTCTTTTTCTTTGAACAGTTCTGAAATGGATATACTCTCTGCTAGCTCTGAAGGTATTCTTATTGGATATTGTCCACAACAAGATGCCCTGGATGAACTTTTAACGGGTTGGGAACATCTTTATTATTACTGCACACTGCGTGGAATTCCAAAGCAAGATATCCATAAGGTAACTATCCAGAGCAGATTTGCAGGGGGAGCTATTGTCTGGCTAGACTGTGGGGTTTATAGAACAATTGTACCTTTTGAACATGAGAAACTGTCTAATATTTTATCTTAATAACTTCAGTGATAAGGTTTTTCATTACCACAATTTTATTTAAATAATTTGGATTTTTTTTCTGTCTGTTATGGCAATTCAAAACACAATAACATCACTGCAGATAGTAAAATAACATTATTGCAAATGAAATCTTGGGCACAAAACCCCTAAAAGAAATTAAATTTATGAATGGTTCAATGCCTTCTCTATCACACATGAGGAACTGTTAGAGAACACCATGCTTTGAGTCTTGTACCTCCGAAAAACTCTTTTCTTCAGAGATACCATTTAACTTTGAAGAAACTAAAAATTGTTGTATGATTCTTATAAATAAATGAACACCTGGGTGCTGGGATGGGAGCTGTCAGCATTCTGCTGTCTTAAACTTCTCAAGATGGGAGTAGTCTCTTAAATGCTCTAGCTGGCGCACAAAGCTTTGGTTGTCCAGGGAGAACAGGCCAAAGAAAATGCTTTGAGAACTTACTAGCATACAAGTTGACAATGTCTAGGAATATCACTGGGAGCTTGGATTTACAGATAGAGGTGTAGCTGTGCAGATCAGCAGACTGAACTTTTTTTCTGTAATCAGGCAACAAGTCAGCAGATACAGAAATTAAGTATGAAACAGATACTGGGTAAAATATGGGGTTTTTTCCTGTATCAGCAAATGGAAGTTTACAATACTACCTGACTTGACCTGCTCAGTCTTGTCTGCTTAATTGCATCTCTATTACCATGAGAAAACATGTAGTGTGACATGAAACTGGTATCTTTCAATTCCTGCTGCATAGATGGGTCCCAAGTAGTTGATATTGCTGTAGCACTGCCCTTGTAACCTCCAAAATAGTGCCTGTTGTTTTCCTTTCATTTTTCCAGAAGCAAAACTGCATGAAATGAAATAGCTTTTTTGTTTTTTTCCTACTACTCAGTGCATTTCTGGCTGTTGCCTCAGGGTCCAATGAGTGGTTTGCAACCAATTCCTTGACTGTATGCGAGAGGGCTGCTTTCTGATTCTCTGTAGTCTTTCTTTTTCCTCAGCAGAAAGGTGCTGTTTCAGAAAAAAAGTAGGACTTCTGTAAGGGACATTGAGTATTCGTTAGGACAGGCAATATTTTGAATTTTTACTGTTTTAAGCTGATAATTTGGGTATTTCTGGGGAAAATAAGTAATTCTTGCAAGCCTTTGCCCCTTGTCTTTGGCAGTATCCATTGCCCAGGGCAAAGCCTGGTCTTTTACTTGTTTTAACATGTTACTTGCAGACTGCTCAGAAATTATCATACAGTCTTTTGTTTGATTGTTTACCCTTGATAATTTTTATGTTAATTTTTACTTCAGACTACTAGCAGAGTATTGAAACTATTTCCCTTGATCTAAAAGAAATATATTAAGGCATGGCTGCTATTTTTGCACTGAAGCCCTCAACTATAATTAATTACCTGTTTTCTCCATAAAGTGTCAGCTCCTCCATAGCAGTTAGGGAAGAGTTCCTGAAGTGGTGTGGTATATCAAATACACTTCCCACTTCAAATGGATGAAAATCATTAATTTAGATATGAGTTATGTTATAGTGTGCGCTGAGAGAAGGCAAACATTAACCTTCCTTGACCTCAGATAATCTAGGTATAGGCTTAGACTATTCTTTATAGTCAGCCTTCTGTGCCTTAGCATCACATTTGTGAAAGAAAGATCATCCTTCTTTTCAGTTATCTTAATTTTTTGCCTGCATGGATTGCAGAGCAGACTTTGTTGCCATATGCTTGCGATCAAGGTATCAAAGCACTCCTGCAAGTAACATTTAGCTGCTCTGGTTTTCCTCCACCAAAAACTGAAATGCAGCTATCTCAGAGGAAAACAAATGTTTTTGTCAGTGGGCCCTCCTGATTGTGTGGCACGTCTGTCAAGCACTCAACAGCTGCTGTGCTTCAACTCAGAAATGGCTGGTGCCTGGAGAAAGTGAGCGTTTTAGCTGCCTATAAAGAAAGTAGGGCTTTGGAATGCTTTAGAGGAGCAGCTGTATGGAAACATAAAGTGTTATTTTCTCATCATTCCCTCCTGCCTATGACACAGCACTCCAAGCCTGCCTCTGAATATTTACCAGTGACTAATTACACTAATATGCAGAGACACATATAGTCTGGAGAGTACATTGGTTTGATAACAAAAGAAACATATATTCAATTTGTTTTTTAAGAAATTGGTGAGCAGGAAGGTGACTCACAGGTTGTGCTGCTGCTGAAGTTGTCTATTGAAGAACTAATGTCAAGGACCGAATCCTTTGCTAGACAAATTTATCAGCAGCAGGAGTTAAGTGCCTGACATAAAGTTGAGTGCACTTAATGTTCCAAAACAGTAATTAAATGAATGGCAAAGGAGGAGAAAAATGGGTCATTTACTACCAGTGTTAAGCTTCACATGTAATGTGAAGTTTTTATACTTCACAAATCTGCTCTGAAAGTTTCTTTTTGTTCAAAATTGGAAAAATTACAGTAAAGCTTTTAGGTTATTTAGAAGGATATATATTAAGCATAGTACTTTTAATTTTTATTTCTTTAGTATATCAACTTCCTAGATCTCAATTTGTTCCAAAATACAGTACTCATCTTGTTAAAAAATTAAAATTATTGACATAGCATTAAATGGCATCCCTCATTAGCATAAAAACTTCTGTTGCAAATCTCAAAAGAAACTTTATCGGGTCTTCTGACGTAACTTTTTTGGAGTGCCAATATGTTCTCTCTTTTCATTACTCTCCAGGAAGATTTTGTTCTGATTCTAGAATCTCAATGATTTCCTTACACGTTATATTCTATAGGTGCTGGAAATGGGACTCTGTAAATTCATCCATTCTTTGTATGTTTACTTATTTTCAGACCCCAAGAAGAATTAGTGTGTACAGTTTTAATGAGATTTTGGGATAAAAAATACTCTTCCCCAGAAACTTGACCATGGATATACACTTTCCAAATATAAGAAATAAACAACTCTATGTTTACTTGAGAGCCAAATAAATACTGTTTTGTGTGGAATTGATGAATGATTGCTTAGGATGAATGTTTAGGATGTTCAAACTACACTGTATCCACTTACTCAGAACCTCAAACTTTGAATTACTATTTTGGACATGTAAAGTTATTTTTCAGATGACTCTAAAATTCAATCCATGTTTCTTATCATTTCAACTGGGTATGATACACATTTTCAGTATTGGATCAGATTTGCTTTACAAGGATTTGTTTAAATAAAGCAAGAAGTTATCCATTTTATTTGTTGTGTCAGAAATTATGAAAACTAATACACTGATGGATACAACCTTTCAAGTCAAGATAGACACACCATGATGTTTCTAGTCTTTGAATAGATTGATTCTAGTCTTTCAATAGATTGATAACTCCCATTTTTTTCTGCAAGACACACACACTGAAAGTCCTTAGCACAACTTAATAATTTACTTGACTATTGGAGGTAATTTTTAAAGGGAGTGGAAGCCCATAGGCATTAGTGGTTACACAATTACTGCTTTTCAGTGCAATGGATCTCTTAGTTCCCTGGTGGATGGAGGAGGCCATGCTGTTTTGACTATTACTCCCACAGATATTGGCATGTGTGTAAAAAGTTATCTTATTATTGCCTCTTCTGGAATGAATGTTGTCTTCAGAAACTCCACAAAGTATTGGGGGATTTTGTTTAGATGCTACAGATTGAAGGGCTCATTCCAATGCCTATTCTAAAACTAGGTGGACTAACCCAAATTAAATTTGGGGAAAATCTGTTGCTAAGTATATTAGAACTGATAAGAAAATAAGAAAAAATTTTGAGAAATATTGGAAAATAGGGAAATTGCTAGCTGATAGATGTGAAGTCTGCGATAATTTTTACTGCTGGTGTGGGGAGGAAGGAAGGAAGGAAACAATTTAAGTACATTATTACAGCCATGAATAGACATAAAATATTTTCATGGTTCGAGTGTGCTTACAATGTATATATTTGTATATAACTGTAGCTTTTGATTTGGCCTCAATGTTACCAGCTTACTAAATAAATTGATGTATTTCCTCGCTCTTTGCTGGTGAATGTCAATGAAATATTATTCAAATAGAGCATCATGATGAATATGACAAGGAAGGAGAGAAGGTGCTTGTGTATATATCTCACATTCACTACAGAAAGGAAATTAGAACTGTAATTTTCTTGCCTAAATGTGTATCTGTATCTGCAGATTGATCACATAGTCAGTTCTGACTTTCATTTAAAGTTGTTTAAGAGGGATTTTTGTGTTTACATTACAGTGTACTATGATAAAAACCACTGGCTATACAGACAAATGAAGTTGTAATGGAGATATTTAGGCTCCTCTACAATATAGCTAATGTATATTTCTAACTTCTTTCAAATGCTGTTTTGTTGTTGCTTAGGTATTATTGATGAAGATGAAACATTACTGGAAATCTTATAATATGCATTAAAGAAAAAAGTCTTGGGGTCATCTCTTGAAAGAAGATTGAACTCTACATTCTCATATTTGCTGAACCATAGTCTGCAGTGCTCTTTTGAAATATAAGATTTGAGGGAGGTAGCAGGAATAGGGGACTTTTTAAAGTGAAACTGGGAAGTACTTAGGAATAAGAAAGTTGGCCCTTCCTTCTGCCTCTATGTTGCTGATGTGATTCCGTTCCAAAACAGTTCTAATTTGATGTTTTGTACCAAAGTGTATCTGGATATGAGGCCAGATTGTGTTGTGCACTGTGGTGACATGCAAGGTTTTTCTTGGAAGTTCTCCACATTTAAAGCATCAGCAAAGTGGGTACTATGAAATGATTCCCACCCCTCTTCTTTTACCTATTTAGATTTTAAACCTTGTCTTGAAAATTTCTATAGCAGGATGCTTGCCAGGCTTTACATCCTTGCAGGAAATAGGAGATTGTGGAGTCATGCTGAATGCTTGAGCACACACCAGAGAGAGGACAATTCAATGTGAGGAATTACAAATTTTGCAAAGTTAGTTCTTTTTAATGCTGCTCCCTACAAAGGTCTTTGTGTTCATACCTGACGTGACTGAGTCTCCTTGGGGGCTACAGACTACAAGAAGACCCATCTAACTTGAATTGTTACTTTCTTCTTTTTCTGGCACTATTCCTTGACCTTCTAAATTCTTCCCCATGCAGCATTCGTTGTCTCTCCAAAAAAAAAATAAAAGACATTTTGCTGACTTTAGGTGACACCTCAAAGCAGTCAGAAAAAATTATTTTAGTCATAGCTAAAGAATAGTTTTGACTACGTTTCAGCCGTGATGCATGGCCCTCAATTACTCTTGAAGCTTACTGTATATTTGACGTAAATATGAGGTTGCATATTTTTTCACATTCTGTTCTTAAATTCTTATGAGATCTTCTGTGTAATTTGTGTGACTGTTGGTGAACATTTAGGAGGATAATCCTTTAGTCCCTAGCATTCAAACATTCCCAATAGTAGCTGTCAAGTCAGTGTTGTAGACAGGATAAGGTGTATACGACATGCTTTAGACGACTTCACTTTGTGTGTTGCTTTGGTGTGTAATAAAACCTGTATTTGGAAGTGAAATAAAAACCCCACATAACAAAACAAAGCTCAGCTATCTTATCTTGGAATATAGCTTAGGTGATTAACCACTTTTAAAGCCACAGCTACAACCTCTAATTGGAAGTAAGCTACTGTGAATTAACTTTGATACAGCAGAAGCCTTGAACTTTTCTGTATAATATTACCTGTGGCTAATTTAACAGTTATAATTTCATTTTTTTTAAACCTCTCTGCATCTAAAGTAGACAGAGCAATATTTCTGAAATGTGGGTTTTGTATGAGAATGTGCACTACTGTCAGGTTATACATCCAGGTACCCAAAACACAGTGACTATGGATACCAGTCCAAGGATCATCACAAGAATATGCAGATTCTCACCTCTGCAGCATTGTTCCTTCTTACAGACAACTTTTTCTCAGAGATGTCTCTTAGTTTTATAAGTATCACTTGAAAATCTTGCTAAAAAGGTCATAGATATCTTGATCATTTCCAAAGATGCTGGCATAAAAATCTTCTATAAGAAAGTATTATTACTCCTGTGGCACTTTGTTTATGTTGGATAGTGAATATTAATTCACAATATTGGTTTTTGAATTGTTTTTCAATCAGAATTTTGAATTAAATGGAGACTATCCATGTGATATAATTAAGCTTTCAAGTCCCTCCTTGCTTTTTGTTGAAGGTAATGTAGAGGAAACAAAGAGAATGAACCATACTGCCGGCGGTGCTCTGGCAGTTAATGTTGGGCAATAACAGCACCATGCTACTCCTTGTTTTACAACAATCTCCTAGCTGTCCTATGTGCAGGTAGAAGACACACTTGTTCTGCTATAAGGTTGATCACTCCTTGATGACACAGCCCCCAGCAGTCTACGCCAAACACCTGCTGCTTTGCATTTGGCAGCAGCAAGCAGAAAAGTTTCTGCTGTGTCCCTTGTGGTTTTGAGCTGTATCTCCATGGACAGTCTGGCAGTAGTAGCTGATATGGATGGATTAAGATTATTGCTGTATTTAATATTCTCTAGCACCAGTATTTTAGGGAACCTTGTATGTCAGGATTGTCTCTGACACAGAGTAAAGAAAGAGGCCATAGGGGACAGCACGAGTGTCGTCTCCAGCTGTGCTCACATGCCTTCCCAGCTTGTTTGGATCATAAATTCTTGTCAAAGCAATTAAAACCAATCCAGCTAGGATCAATTTACCCCACCCAGTTATTAAAAAGTTATATTAATTTGATCCTGTTACATTTTGTCTTAAAGAAGCTCTAAATCCACAACTGCGACTTGGTTTTCTGACATTTTCATCTTTTTTTGTAGCTGATGGAGAAATTTTTTGCTTGAATTTTCAATTATTCAGGTATTTGATCAAATAAATAGTAGAGAATATATTGAAATGAGAGATATTTTAGATCATTGACCCATGGACGCAAGCCAAATACAAAAGATTGTGCTGAGCAGTGACAAAGCCAGACTTCTATATGAGAAAATCCATAACATTTTTGAAGAAGGAAGGGGCCTCAGAGCAGTTTTTTGCCCGTGTTTAAGATTCAAAAGTAATAATGTGCAGCAAGTGTGGATAAATAAGGAAACAACATGTACATTTTCTTAACGTGCATGAACAGAATGTTCTTTCAATCTATGCCCAAATGCTATGTAATCTGTCTCATTTTTGCTGGCCTTAAAATTTGCAAACCACAGGTTGCAGAGGACCTTGTTAACAGGTTACACCTCAATGCCCATGCTGACAAACTGGTGAGAACCTACAGTGCTGGCACAAAGAGGAAGCTCTCTACTGCTGTGGCTTTAGTTGGTAAACCCCAAATACTTTTACTGGTGAGTAATATTGTGGTTATGAAAAATGGGCTACATTGAATTTTGTTGTCGTGTATGTTGCTCTAAGGAACATCAGGTATTTTCCTGATCAGTCGGTGAGTAATTAATGAACAACTGTCTTCTTTGTTCTGCTGTATTAATGGCTTTAATTTTATTCTCCAGTGCTCCCAAAAATAGAAAGTGAAATTGTTTTTCTTTTCTTATTTTATTCTTCCTTGGAGCAATTGGATGAGCAGAAAAAAAAGCCATCAACACAAATACAATTGTAGTATTCCACAGTGCAAATATGTGTTTAATTGACCCATGTTCTTTCAGGATAATCCTAATTCTTACTACGTTGTATTTATTTCATAAATCTGGCTAGTTCTTACATTTTGTTGCATTTAGAAGTCACCCAATCAAGCAGTACTTCTGAATTATATTAATTTGAATAACTTATCCCAGGTTGTTTTGGTTCTTGCATACTACTGCCCATTTAGGCCTGGCATTGGCCCCTCCAGCGTAAACAATGCCTTCTGTATTGAAGATGAGGGAGCCACAAAGCTTTGAGAACTGCATTGTTACAGCACCGCATGCTTTTTCATACCATTGCCAATTGCTTCACTAGAGAATATTGAAACTCACCTTCTTAAAACTTGGCTGGGAAGAGCTAAACCAGTGCAATAAACCTTTCAAAACAGTCAGGGGTAGGAAAGCTGCTCCTCAGAGTTCAGGGGGATTCCTGGGCTTCCGGGGAAAGATCACAGGTAAACCAGAACCAGATAAAATAGTTGTTCTCCAAGGTTTGTGTTTCAGAAGATTAGACATATTTTGCTGCTTCTAACTGCCTATTGTTTCCTCATTTCTTAGAGAAGACATTTTATTTGCATTTTTTGCTTTAACTGGCCCTTGTTCAGCTAGTAAAAGGAGGAGATTATCTTAAATCAGTGTTTCATTCCTGATCTTAGGAAATGCTCCAACTGGTTTTGAATGTCTTTATGACAATGTACTACTGCAAGTATCCATTTCAGCCTACTTTTTGCTGCAGGGCACAGACTGTTGCATATAGAATGAAAAGAGGAAAGAAAGATATCTAAACATGTATAATTCTTCAAAACATTTGCTGGCTTTAGAAAACTAAAGGAGTTTTTCAGTATTTTAAAAGGAGGGGTTTTTTATTATTTCACCTGAAAGCAAAGACAGCAATATAAACTACTGAATCTGCTTTTAAATTGCATCCAGGATCATAGCTATTAATTTGAGCAACTATAGGTTGCTTTATGTTTATTGCATTTTATGTTTTCTTTGTTAGCAATCCACAGATAATGGAAGACTGAACTAAATTCTTAACCTCTGACATTGGTAGTGAAGCACTAAAACTAGCTTCAAGCTGGATGTTTTGTTTGCTTTGTTTCTTGAAAACTTTGCTTCCAGGTCTCAGCTGGGATTCCTTGCTGAAAATACTCTGGGCAAAACCATACTCGTCTACCAGGTGCTGACACTCCCCATGGAATTCCACTGGATAAAAAGCAACTGGAAGAATTTCCTTCTTCCTAGTTTTGTAGCGACAGAGACTGGATTTATCAATCAAATATAATTCCTTTTGTTTCTATGAATGGATGAATTTAAAAATTTGATTTACGGAGGAAAGCAGGAATAGATAAGAAGGGGCAATGTAGATTTTGAAAGCCGTCCAAGTGGGAAATGGGTTTGCCAGTTTCTTTGCACTGAGTTAATGTTATTTTATCCTGTGAATTCTTTCCCTTGTGGTTAAAAATTTCTCTTAAAAGGGCTGTGGGAAGAACTGGCATAAGATGTCAAATCAAAACATCTTATCAAACACCTGGATGTGGGATGGGCAGAGTAGACCTCTGGGAGCTATAGGACTTCTCCAGTTGTTTGTGCTCATGGCAGATGTGTATGCAGGTCAGAAACAGTCGCCAAATCCTTCCAGAAAATGAGAAGAACCACTTCCAAGTCTCTCTTATGAAAAAGAGCATATGCATATAATTAAACAGATATAATAAATAATTATAGCTATACATATATGATATATAAAAATTTATATACATGATAAGCATTTATAAGTACACATAGATTATATTTAAATATTGTTTATATATACATACTTCTTTACTAAAATGTGCCTTCCATAAATTTAGACATTAAACTGTATGTGTTAAAGCAAAACATTGATCAGGGTGTCATTTAAGTGGCCCTCTGAAAATGTGACATTTAAAGAGAAAAACATATGATTTTATTGTGAATTGTGTTAATTCTTCATGCTGGACAGAACCTGTGGTGTGCTTTTTCCATGCTGCTGTGTCATTTTCATTTTTCCTGTAGGATGAGCCCAGCTCTGGGATGGATCCCTGCTCTAAACGGTACCTTTGGAAAGCTATCCTGAAGGAAGTTCAGGATGGCTGTGCAGCTGTGCTGACATCCCACAGGTAAGACCCTTATCCCAGCAGCCAGCATATTTCTGTGCTGCAGAAGAGTGTATTCTGAAAACATGCTCACTCTGTTGTGAAACACAGATTAATTCTTGAAATTTTATGATAATTCCTTCATATTCATGAAAAAGAAATCTATTTATATCCCAAATATTTTTCATATTTAATTTTTAAAAAATAGAGTGTTACTCAAGGGGCTGCAAGCACAGCAAAGATGATGTAATTCTTCTTTTTCCATGCTCTTTTTCTCAGTGTTGTAGTGTCTCTTCTTGCTTGGAACATCAGGTTACTTTTTGTATTTGGCTACCTTAAAAATCCTTACAAAAGGAGGCATGAGTGAAAAACCTTCTGATTTTATTAATTTTCTGATTTGCATCAGTATATGAAAAGAGTAAGCCATGGCATCCAGAAGATGAATGTGTCAGCTATTCTCTTATGCATTACTGGAAATGGTAGGAGAGACCCCATCCTCTTAGAAGAGTACATCTACATTAAATATCTTGTCAGTTCTCTGATATGGTCACTGGCATATTGGTTTAATGGAGGAAACATCAATACTGTTTTGTAACATCTATAGTGAAATGAAATAAATTAAATGTTCCCTCAGGTAATGTATATATATATATGATATTTATAATTATATATAAAATTCCTTTAAATGAGGGAAAGAACATGAAAGCGTGTCCAGAGAAGAGAAAATTCAATAATCAGAACAGCAATGAAACATTTGACAAATGAGATTTGAAGTACAGATGAATTAATGAAGGAATGTGGCCAAACTTCCTTCAATGCTTTTTATTTTTGTAATTTTTTTAGATATTGTTAAGATGAATTTGTTGTCCCAGTCCATCATTGATGGAAAAATTTTCCAAAAATTTTTTAATATTTTATTTACGGAAGCTGAATTTTAAAATTCATGTACCTGGGTTTGATGGCCAAGTGCTTACCAGCACACTCATTTAGGGAAAGTGGGACATGGATTGTGAATTCAGCTCTGTGATTTTCAGGAAAAAATATGCTTTGACTTTTCAGCCCAGATTAAGAACCTTTAGTTGTCAAACACCAGCTAAATAGAAGAGACCTGTGATCTCATTACTAATATGTTGTAAACAAACAAAATCCATCAAATTACATTTAGCTCTACAAACGAATGACTTGAAACAGACAATAAGTACAGTGTTACTGCTCACATTGTTGTGCCAGGGTGAAGGAAGGAGAAATGATTTTATACTATTTATACTGTTTTCTGAAGGCCAGTGGGGCTTTGAGATTATTTACTTGTATAAGTACAGGAATTTTACGTATGAAGTGAACTTTTATACATGTCAGCAAATACATGTGTAAGGTATAGACAGGGCTTGCTGTGTAAAAATCAGGTTTTGAGGGTTGTTCACCTACTTTTCTGAGACACTTTTTTACTTACAAATCTGAAACAAAGCTTCTGTTTTAACTGGGCAGGAGTGAGGCTTTATCAACTGCCCCTAGAGCCCTAAATTTGTGTAATTTTGGCACAGCTGGGGAGCATTATGCCAAGAGGAGCATTAGGAGTTATTCGGTGAATTTCCTGATTTGTGGGAAGATGTGTCAGCTCTCTCCCTGTCTGTCTCAGGCACAGCAGTTTGGCAGTTCTCACCACAGCCCTGTCACATTATAAGGAAATTGTTCCTAGGGCAGAACTTAATTGCCAGTGTTTGTTCAGTCAAAGCACTTTGATTTGGACTGGCCCATGGCTGAGGCACACAAGACATCTCTTGTTTAGCTGTCTCAGAAGGGCTGGGGAGGGCACACAGGGAATTGTAGGACCACCGAGCGTCTTTGAGTCCTCTTTGAGATGGTGGGTGTGTCCTGACTGGTTCCTTATGTCAAAAATGCTCCTGTGAAAGAGCTGCTCACAAAATTCTGCATAATATGAAGGGTAGCAGCCCATCTGCCATAAGTTTTACAAGTCAAAGCTATTATTTATCATCTGAAGCAGTCACATCTAGGAGTACCCTGCTTTTCTATTCAGATGCATTTCCATTTCCTGAATTCTGTTTGGATTGTAGCAGTTTGGATTGGCTTCTATCCTGCAATCAAGCTAAGGGTAACTTTTTTCCAAGGCCATATGCTATGCAAAAGAAAAGCTGAGCAAGCTTTTCCTTCTTCTCTCTTTATCCTTTAGCTCAGAATAACCATGAACACATATTAAAAGAGAATAACAGAGTTCATGACTCCATCAGTGGCATTCCTGAGATTACTTGTGAGGCGTTTGGCTGTGGTAATGATACCTTTATATTCTGACCAGAATTGTCCAATAAGGTATGGACAAAAATATCAATGATGGTTTAAGGCTCTCTTCTAACTGTCATGTGGTAACAGCTTTTGGTACATACTGATTAGGGTTATAACTTTGACTATCACCCTTTGAAGCCGAAGGTTTTGTGTACCTGTTTTGCATCTGTCCAGACTCTTCCACCTTAACTAAAGTTAGGCATAAAAAATGTTCTCTGTTTTCACTGCTAATTATTTGGGTTTTTCCCCTCGATTTATTTTGCAGTATGGAAGAATGTGAAGCTCTCTGCACAAGGCTTGCTATTATGGTCAATGGAGCTTTCAAGTGTCTTGGCTCTCCCCAGCACATTAAAAACAGGTATTATGCATCAACATCAAAACTTCTGCATCTTTATTCAATCTAAGAGCTGGCTAGATGCTTTAGTAGTGCTAAGGCATAAGCACTTACGACTGCTAAGAACGTCTTTTTCCTGCTGTCACTGAATTTAAAAAAGAGCCAATTAGGATAACAGCAAGCTAAATTGACAGGTGACATTGCTAAAATGCTTTGTAGTCTGCATTGGTAATGGAAAGAGACAGATCTGCATCTAAAATGAAGCACTTCTGCACATAATCTATAAGAATACATTGTGAGACTATGACATGGCAATGAAATACAATTTGGTTCCTTCTGAGGGTTTTTCATAGCAGAAAGAAGCATTTTTAACAGGTCAGCAGCCAGTACGAACATCTACTTTGAACTCTCTCTGCTCCCTACCAAATTCACTGACAATCGCAGATATTTATGCTGTTTTCTGCATCCTTTTCCTGGTGTGCATAAGCCTCTTTTCTGTTTGAACTCTGCTCATGAGTTAATTTAATATCTATTAATGAGAATGTTTAATTCAGAAGATGTGCTCAAACCACCGTAAAGGAAACAGGATCGGAAGCTGAGGGGAAAGTTGCTGCAACTTATAGCTAGAACATTTACATTCAGTTGTAAATGTAATTGTTAGGACACAAAGACAGTCAGCTGTGTAAGATGATACAGCTCATTTACAAGCACCAAAGCTACACTGCTTTGTACTAGCTCAGCACTTGGTTCTCTTAATTGCAGATACACTTGATATTGGGAACAAGCTCTACAGAAATGCTTTGGAATTGCTGTCTGCCCTGCTTTTAAGGCAGAAGTTATGTGCTTGGGACAACTTCTTGTGCTATGACAACCTTTTTGGCTTTCTGGTCTTCCCTTTGAGTAAAACTATAGATCCTTGCTTCACAGCTGCATTAGCAAGATGGGCCTGACTCACACTAGCTCCCTCCTTTCGAGTTTTTTTCATGGAGACAAACTTTCAGTTAGGGATATTACAATCCAGATAGTGGAAAAAACATTGATATCTGCATCTCTAATTCTGATGATTCTGTGTGATTGTAGCCTTCTTTTCATGTTTGTACAACTTCCAGTGCCTATTTGCTTCAATTTCTGCAGGCATGAGAAGTCAGTTTATTGGCAGCAGTTTCTTCCTCTTTCATATCTAGGTCTTTGCCTCTGCCATCTTGTGCCTTCCCAAATTTCCTAGCATAGGGTGGCCTGTTATCTCACTGGCTGGAGTAGATTAGTGAGTGTGAAGGCATCCTTTATTTCTTTTGTATGAGAAACAGATCATACATAGAGGGCGGTGTAACTCAGTATGTGGAGGACAGTGCAGATCTTAGACAGGTGAAAATGCTGTTTGAAGATGTGTGTCCCCCCACTCAGGAAAAGTGATACTACTTGGGCACTTCAGCTGAGTGTATAAAGTTAGCTGGGAGGAATGTGAGTCTTCACTTCTTATGTTTCAGATCCTCTGGATTGAGTACGTCTCTGTCTTGTCAGCTTGACCTTGAGAGGGCAAAATCAGACAGTCCACAAAGGCTACCTTCCCATTTATCTTATCAGTGACTTTGTAATTTTTTTGACACTTCTGATGTTTCCTTTAGCAGCACCTTTCTATCTTCCCTCTTATGAAAACAAGACATCAAAAGCATACTCATAAGTATGCACTGTATTCATATAAATAAGGCAGTCATTTCTCAATTTGCTGCACTGCCTCTGTAGATAAACTTGTTTCAGATCACAGTTAGTAAATCAATGAAGAAGTATCCTGCTGGAAGTGTCATCATCATATTACTTCTTATTGAGATGATACTGGTACTGTTATTACTGTAGAGATAGTCACAGATCAGCCATTCCAGAATCAAGGCTTTATGAGTGCCTCTTTCAAATTCTCTAAAGCAAGGTCATAATAAAAATATTTGGCAGTCATGTTCATAGCAATTATTTTTTTTGAATTGTTTTAACTTTGTAAAAGGCACACCTTCTCTATATTAAGAATATTTCATACTGTCAGCAGGTTTGTGTTCCATGGCAGTTTTTTAATATACGTCCATCAGTGATCTTCACATGGGAAAATATGTGTACTTGAGATCAATATTTCTGAGACTTTCTACGCAAACTGTGTAGCTCAAGCTGCACGAAGATTTTTCATTTAAGGCAGGACTTTAACTCCTAGCTTATTGATTGACTTGGTCTCCCAAGTTTCCATGCTAACTGTTCAGGAACCTATTGAATGTTTTTAAAATTTTAGAACCCTTTGTTAAGAAAAAAACCCTGTAAGCTTTATCAAAGGATTTAATTAAAATAATAAAATTTTCTGAATTTTCTCTGACTGCCTGATAAATTTCCTTGGCTGGAAAAACAAAACCACTGTAGAGAGCACAGTCTTAAAGCGTCACACACACAGCTGCTAAAGCTTTCAGAAAAGACATTTCTGTGTTTCCTTTGGAAATCTTTTGACAAGTGCTAGAAAGATGTCAAAGACTGTTCCATTACTTGTGTAATTTTGCTGGCTTAATCTAGCTTCCAAACATCCCTCCAATACATGCCAATATGATTTTTTATCATAAAACCCAGGCTATCACATACTTAACACTTAAAGTAATTGTTAGGAGATTAATTGCACAGAATCTACAATGTTTTTTAAAGTTTCAAACTTACCTGAGGACATTTCCTAGTATGCTACCTTATGGAGGATTCCTGCATCTACGTGAAGTGGGGAGGGGGCAGAGAAGCAGAATGCCAAAGAAATCCATTGAAACAATTAAGCTTTAAATAATTTTAAAATCTTCATTTCCTCACTTTCTGCTCCACCTGTGAACATCCTGAAAAGATTCCAGGACTTGGAAGAGTACTGAGTGATTCCTTCCAGTTTTCCTGCAATTTAATAGCCCTATCATTCTAATTGCCATACAGAGCAAAATACTGTTTCTTCTAAAGTGTAGACAACAAGGATTAGTAAATCTAAGCTGCTATTAGGAAATATCTACCTGGAAGGAAGGATGTTTTCCTTAGCAGCCAGCTCTACTGATAGAATCACCAATCTTTTCCTAGTGTTTCAGTGTTTTTCTGCTATTAGCACTGTCTCTTATATTTGTCCCATGTGCCATCTCACAGTAAAAAACTCATCACCTCTTATATTTTGTTTAAAAAAAATGTTCCATGAAATAGTATAAGGAAAGCATAAACAAAACTGATTTTGTTGCATCTGATTTAATTTAATTACCAATACTCTAAAAGTTTGTATTTTTGGATGGTGTTTTTTTGTGCTGTGTGTGAATGAATCAGGCTAGTAATATACACATTCATATTAATAGGAAAGAATGGTACTAAAATAAATTAATGGGGTGAGAATTGTAGATTATCATGGTTTCTTTGTTAGATTTTACAGCTTGTTTTTTAAAAATTGTTTTTATTTATAAGCAGTTCTTGACATCCTTAAGTCTGTTTTCAATTTGTTTCTACAAATCAAATTGAGCAAATATTTTGAAATCAACACATGTCCTGATCTGGCTTTGGAGATTGCAAGGAGATAAATGTAAACATTATGTGAATCCTTAAACCAAAGAAAACTTTGATACAGCTTTTATTTATAAAAGACTAAATCCTGTACTGTAAGAAATAGAAGCATATTTTGATATTACATGTGATTTTATTAGTATATCTCAAGAAATTTCTTCCTCTTCTATATGTAGGCACATATACTATAATGACATTTTTCTTCCATTCTTGGTGAATTCTGTCTTGATGGAAGTCCTCAAATTTGTTTCATTTGTTTATTCTTTAGTACCACTCCAGCCTATAGAGTCCAGATTATGATCACCTTTTGATGGATATATGATGAAGTTTTAATGGGTCTTCCTTGGGGCCCTGTTAAATTTGATTCTTTGCTTTGCTGGGGAGTTCAAGGATTCAGCTCATTCTCTCTGGCTACACTTTCAGCCCTTGGCAGATGTGAAAGATCATAATTGTGGATTGAGTACAGCTTTGTCAGATGGCAGGACAAAATTCTGTGATGAAGGGTATGGGTGAACTCCAGGAAGGTGCTAATGTGAGACATAAATGCTTCATAGGGATATAAAAAGAGATGCTGCATCTAACATGTAAGACTTGTTCCATTTTTACAGACCTTCTGCAAGCCTGTCAGAAAATGTTCTTCCCAAAATGTCTTCTCACTACAAATGTTGGTGTTTGGGTTTCTGCTCCCAGCTGCTGAACCTTGACTATATTTATAGATGTTTAACAGATTTAAAGTATCTACAGATGTTTATCAGCAGAATAATAAGAGTAAAATTTCTATATAAAGGCTTTTTTGTTATAGGTGGCATATTTATACAAAAATAGCAAGAAATGTATTGGGTAGAAGAACAAACTGAAGGGCAATTTTCAAAAGTTAACTTCTTAATTCTTGATGTAGTTTGTCTGAGATTGATGTGTTAACAGTTGTGCCCATTAAAGCCTAATTTCAGACAACTCCTGCCAACAGAGTCAATTACTCTAAATTGTGAATGGATTACACTTAAATGCTCTCTTCAGTATTCTCCATTATACTTAATGCTTTTTTAAAAAAATCACAAAAGCATTTTCATGTGAGATACAGCTGGCCAGTTCTCTGAGAACAACATTTTGAATATTATCCTTCATTCTAGGGCCATCTGGACAGACTTCTCATATCAGAAAAACCCATACCAATTTGTCAGGTGCTGGACATCAAGTCTTTTCTCAAATTTTATCAGCAAGCCATCTGATTAAATTACCCAACAATTAATTCATTTGCTATAGCTGTGTAGTGGTTTCAATTTGCCAATTTGAGATTTCCTGGCCAATGCACCAATTAATGTGGTGGGTTCAGTGCTGGTGAAACAACAGTGCCCGCCCTCACTAGAATACACTTATTCATTTGCTGCTGTGAGATAGAAAGAGGGCAAAGTAGGCTCAAAATTTTTAAAGGATACAAAGAAAACTTTATTAATAGAAACAAAAATAATAAGAAATCTTCAGAA